AGATAACTGGGGGTGGGGGTTTCCCCTTTGTAAAAAAATCCCTACTGCTGTCTGCAGGGCCTTGTGCCCCTCACTGCTTGCGCACACACGCCTGAGCCTGGCAGCCCAGGCATTACCATTTGAGTCAGAGGAGGCCTCACGCCGTGGGCCTGCGCTGCCCCACAGCATCCCTCACCCCACAGGCATCACTCACCTCAGCGGCTTTCGCACGGCATGAACAACCTCCTTCTGGGCCCAACTGCCCCTCGAGGGCTTGGCTTACAGGGGAGAGAAGGTACCCCGTCATTCCCCACTGCTGCCCAGCTGACAGCAGGTAGGACCAGATTTCCGGGATGTGTGTCGAAGGCTACACCCCGGTGCTGCAGATCCCAACATGCCTGATACCCTGCTGTGCCGGCTCCAGAAGGCAGGAGCAGGGACCAAAGCAAAGCTGGAAGGACCAGCAGAGAAATGAAAAGCTCCGTTGGAGCTGTTGGTTTTGAGGGGATGGCTGAGCGCAAGTGCTCTTCAGATCTCATTGTGTGGACAGATGTAGGTGAGCGCAAAAAAGGGGGTTAACTCACATGTTTAATGTTTTTATTGTTGGTTGGGAAGAGGGGATTGAGTGTACCCTCAGTAAGTTTGCAGGTTTCACCAAGTTGGGAGGACATACCAATCTGCCTGAGGGTACGAAGGCCCGAGAGAGGGACCTGGACAGGCTGAGGCCAATTGTGTGAGCTTTAACAAGACCGAGTGTCAGGTCCTGCAGTTTGCTCACAACAACCCCAGGTAATGCTACAGGCTTGGGGCAGAGTGGCTGGAAAGCTGCACGAAAGAAAAGGATCTGGGGTGTTAGTTGAACATGAGCCAGCAGTGTGCCCAGGAGGCCAAAGAGGCAAACTCTGAAAAAGTTGTCAGGTGTTGGAACAGGCTGCCCGGGGAGTCAACCATTCCTTGACGTTTTCAAGAAAATAGACAATGTTGCTCTGAGTGATATGGTTAAGTTGTATGGTGGTGATGGGTGAATGGTTGGAATAGGTGATCTTAGTGGTCTTTCCATCCTTCGTGATTCTACGTGGGCACACAGAGGAGGTGGAAGAGGCATAAAAAGGCCAGATTCACAGTCTCACTTTCTGAATGATTCAGAGAAAAAAAGCTGAAATCTAGGCCTGCGTGAGGATTTTTACATTCCTGAGCCATCAGCACAGCTGGAACTGGCCTGATGAAGTAACAGCAGTCTTTGCCCCCAGGAGGTTTCAGCCCTATGGTCGCACAACCCACACACCCTACTGGAAAGAGGAGCAGCTATCACACTCCTTGCTGGGAGGAGGGCAGAAAACCCTCCTTCCTGCTGTGAGGACCTGAAGGAAGACCTGTCAGAGAAAGAGTTAAGAAAGCTGGGAAGTGGTTGGGCTGAGTCTGTTTGCTGTAGCTATGAGGGCTGCAGGGTAAAGAAGAAGAATGTCCAGCCTGGAGGAGGCAGATGAGGGAGTGTCAACAAGGGCAGCTGTGGAGCTGAGGGAAGTGCCAGGTCTTCCTGATTCTGTGCCCAGGGACTGACACAGCGGGGAGATAATACACTGGCTACCAGGGGGCTGGGTGACAATGTGTCAATGAGCTGATGCCTTTAGCACCAACTGCCTGATGCTGCCCAGCTTCTCTTGTATATAAATCTTTGCTCACTGCTGCTGGAGTGACTTGTCTACAGAGGAAGATAATCAGATCATCTGTCTATAGGACATTAGAGACTGGGACTCAGGCACTGACACCATCCTTAGCCATGTGAGCTCCCTGGGAAGGATACTCATTCCAGAGCCCCAGTTCAGAGCTCTCCCATTGCTCTACCAGAACTGTAGTGGGCAGTACTGCGCAAATACCCTCAATCCAGAAGCTTTCTGTGGGCCACTCAGTCTCTGATGCTGGTAGGCACACCAGCACTACCCACAGTCATCACCTGGGGCAGGGGCTGTGCTGTGCAGGATGGGATTCAGGCTGCTTCTTGGTGGCTGAAGGCAGAGTTTGGCCAGGGCTAGGATGGAGATAATGTGACTGTGTATGTGATGCTGATCCCAGTGCTGCATGTCCTTGCTGTGACCTAGTTGCAAGTACACTTAGCACTCGTACTATCTGGATTGAAAAGTCACCTGGGGAGGTGCTGTCTGCAAAGAAACAGGCAGATCTGTAAGGAAAGGGTGGGAGAAAAAACCTAGGCAATACAAATGCAATGCATGAAAGGGAGCATCTCTGGGAGCATAAAGGGAGAGAAGCATTGACACTGAAGAGTCACAGACAGGGGGGTAGAAATGTCCAGTCTGGCACAAAGGAGGGTGCACATTCCCCTCCCTGCCCATTTTTGCTCTAAAGTAAGGCTGTAGAGGACTAATCCCCTGCCATCCTGCTCCACAAGTTCCACGCCAAGCAGATGTCCCTGCAAGGGGCCCTTTAGGACCTTGATGACTGTACAGCTTTGGCAGGGTGGGTAGAGAAGTTGGTCTGAATGTGCTGGCAGCAGGTAGAATCCATGGAGGCAGTGAGGCAAGGAACGAAGCTGGCTGTTGAGGAATGTCAGCTGGTCAGTTTTACTGGTGGAACTGTTCCACTCTGCAGGGGCTGCAGGCTTTTGACAATGTTGCTATCCAAGGTCAGCAGGACTGACCAGTGGGTGCCAGTGGGGTTGGCATGGGATCCATTCAATGAGCCAGTGTGTCCTCTTGGTGCATGTGGAGTGCCTTTTTCCACATGCTAATAGAGTTGCTGACACTGCAAACATTGAACAGTAAGCATGTGCTACTACATATACTAATTTTCTGGCTAAACTTCATCATTTGGCCAGGCCTGGCTTTTAAGTCCTGTCTGGATCACACTAGGTGTCAGCCCCGCAGACTGGCAGATCTTGCCCCCACCCCTGCTGCCAGTCCTGCCCAGCCCCCCAAGCTCCCCTTTGAGTTGTTTACTCCTCTTCCTCAATGGGACATGGATACCACTAGCTGATGGTGCCACAGGCTGAGCCAATAGCACCTGCAGTGCAGTCCTTCTAACTCTAGGTCTTGAAGAGCCTGGCACTGGGTGAACACCCTGATGCTGACTTCTCCTAAGCACTCTCCATCTGGATGCATCCATCATGCATGGAGTAACAACCTCTCTCTCCTGCTGCATCCCACCAGTGCCTTCCCCTTCTCCATAACTGAGTGCAGAGCTCATCAGGCCTGTGCCTTTTCTCACCTTGTTTCAGGCAAGTGGGAGGCTGCCTTCATTCATGCCATCTCCTCAGGGAGTGTTGCCTTTGCTGTGACTCATGCCTGCTGTGGTGGGGAGCTGCAGAAATGTGGCTGTGACCGCAAGATCCAAGGAGTCAGTCCTGAAGGTGATGGAGGAGTCCAGGGACAGAGATTGGGTGGCAGAGGACAATGGGAGGGTATCACCAGGGGATGAGAGGCAACATTTTGTTTCACAGTCAGTTCTCAGCCCTTCTGGCATTCCCCCCAGGGTTTCTCACTCTTCATCTCATGGTTGTTTTCCCCCAGCGGGTTTCCAGTAATCAGGCTGCTCTGATAACCTCTCTTATGGGATTGCTTTTTCTCTTTGTGGACAACCCCGAGAGGAGCCATAGTGTCTCCTCCAGCCAAGCTCTCACGAACCTGCACAATAATGGGGTGGGAAGGAAGGTAAAGGCAGGAATAAAAGCTGGGAAGCACATCCACTTTCTAGAGCTTCTTCTTGGCTGGGCAGAGCTTTGTCCAGTCCCTTATTCAGAGTAGAAATTTGGGGAATCCATGAGCTCACAGAGCAGGTTTGTGTCCTGCTCCCTTCCCTTCCCTTCCCTTCCCTTCCCTTCCCTTCCCTTCCCTTCCCTTCCCTTCCCTTCCCTTCTTCCCTTCTCTTTTCCCCTTTCCTTCTCTTCCTTTTCTTTCCATTCTGTTCTATTCTCTCCCCTTCCCCTTCTCCTTCCCGCTCCCCTTCCCCTTCCTTTTCCCCTTCCCCTTCCCATTCCCTTTTCCCATCCCTTTGGCTAATCCTGCCCTGATGTCCCCATTCTGGCCTCATGGGAATCCTGTCAGGGAACAGCCATTTCGTAAAGCTCACAGGAACAGGTGCCCCACAGGTTGTCTCTGTTCCATCTGGCAGCTGTCTGCTCCCCATGCCCTTCCACATGAAGGTGGAGTGCAAGTGCACTCAGCATGTCCTGTAAGGTGTGCACATGCTGAGAGGTCATGCCCCCTTCTGCAAGTTGGACAACATCCTGAAGAAGAAGTTTTGAGGGAGTAATAGAGGTTCACTCCCAATGAGTCAGTTCCTGCAAGCTGTTAGTGTCCAAGAGCAATCGTTTCAAGCCTTAGACAGCTCATGACCTGGTTTATCTGTTGGCCAGCCCAGACTTTTGTGACTGGAAGGCCTGGTGTGGGACCTTTGGCTCTTCTGGCCACCTGAGCAACAGGACATCTGCAGCCATGGATGATGGTGAGCTCGTGTGCTTCTGCAGGGGCTTCTGTGCAGCCCAGGCTGAGGTGGTGGAACAGTGCCAGCACCTGGTGGAGATGCACAACTGCTACTGGTGGGGCAGTGGGGCTGGATGAAGACAACAGCCCAGAGAGGCCCACTGCAGGGGGGGGAACGGGGAAAGGTATAGGGAAAACCTGCTCCCTGCTTGGCACTTTGTCTTCAGCTTTACTGATCTTTTTGTAGTTTAAATTTATTTTCAATACAGAGTTGGAGGACGCAGGCCCCAGAAACCTTTAAACCTTAGAAGTAAAGCAGCTATGAAAGAAAGCAGCGTCTATATTAACTCCTTCCTCACATACTGTTTAAGACCTGCAGGGCACCTGGCTTTGCTCCTGCTGGGTCTGGCAAGGTGAGATGCCATGCTGGAGGCCTCATCCTCAGAATATTATCACCCAGGCCATGTGTGCTGCAGTGAGTGAGAGCCACCAAGGAGCCATGCAGGTGCTGGTGGAGAAGCACCTCCAACTTGAGAGGTTGCTGTGGACGTGACAAAGCGGCAGAAGCAGAGAGAAAGGAGCAAATTAGGTTTATGGGCTCTTTATAAAATATGGTTCAGCCTTGGTAATGCTACTGATTGATGTAAGCCTGCAGGATCAGGAAGGCTAAGGGTTGCTGGGGACTTCATGCAGGTGGCTCTAAATCCATATACTGGGGACAACAGCTTTCCCAGGCTCCTTCATCTGGAGAAAACCTTTTCAAGAGGAGTTTCAGTGGGCAGCAGGGTGAAATGCTGTTGGATTCAGCTCCTCTCCTGATGTGCTGCTGTCAGGGATGCAGAGTAGGTGCTCAAGTGATGAGATTTGGCCATGGACAGTTGACTGACCAGCATGGAGCCTGGAAAGAGCTGTTTGGGTTCTCTGCACTGCCACAATTCCATGCAGCCTGCTCTGGTGTCCTGCACCCCTTGCACCTTGCCCACCACTGCACCTTATCCTTCAGTGAGGCTGAGGAACCTCTGGTGCCAGCGCATTACTTCCTCCTTTCCCTCTTCCTCACTCAGAACGTGATAGGTCTGGTTTGTGAAGCAGCCATGGCGAATCACCTGAAAGAAGAGCCTGAGTTCATAGAGTTGGTACCGCCACACTTCCTAAGATATGAGATAGTCCTCTGTCCAGCTTTGGGGTTCTGGGCTTTGTTAACAATAGGAAGTTGGTGTATGGGGGAGATCCTCCTTTGTGAGAGGAAATATAAGGACAACCTAATGGATGGAAGGCTTCCCATGGCTCCCTATCTCGACACTCTGCAGTCGTGTATCAATGCCTCTGTAAATCCCACTGCTCAGTGGGATGACAGCAAGCCTTCTGTGCTGTTGGCACCCATCCCATACACACCCAATTCTGTCTTTTTGGAAGGAAAAGCATTGACAGGTGAAGTCCTGCAGGGACTCAGATCTTCTGTGCAAGCATGGACCAGGCTGCCCAGTGAGGTTGTGGATGCTCCTCCCTGGAGATGTTCAAGACCGGGCTTTGAGAAACCTGCTCTAGAAGGTGGTGTTCCTGCCTATAGTGAGGGGTTGGAACTAGATGATCTTAAAGGTCCCTTCCTAACCATTCTATCTAACCCTCATCTAAACCATTCTACGATTCTATGCCCAGCCACGGAGCAGAAGGCAAAAGCTAAGTAAGGGATGGCAGAGGCTGCTTCTTACCCTCTGGTTGTAGAGGCTGTGCTGCAAGCACTGGTGGCTTTTGAAGGCGCAGTAAGTGGGGTGCTGAACTCCACCCGAGTCGCAGATCTGTGGAGATGGGAATGAAAGCCAGAGAAGAGAGAGGAGAAGGAGAGGTGGAGCATCCTCCCAGAACTCACCTTGCCTGGGACATCCCCTGCTCGGAAGGTTGCATATTCTGCCTGCAGCCAGAGCATCACACGAGGGTCATCGCAGCCTTGGGTGGCTATCAGGCTGCACCAGTATTCTGGTCGCAGGCCACTGGAAACCTGTGTACCGAAGTACTCCGAGGGCTCTGGAGAGCTGGTCTGCAGAGGGGTGGGATGAAAAGAGCCATGCATTTCTCCCTTCTTCCCCACCACTGTGACCATCTCCTCTTTGTCACAGGCCAGAAGGAGATGCAGCATGCTCAGTACCTTGTTGCCTGCAGCCCGATGCTGGACTGAGATCTGGGGGTTGATGTATGCGATGAAGCTGCCTGTCTTGCAGTGAACGCGCCTCAGGTTGTAGATGTTCTGGCACTGCTCCATTTTCAGTGAGCAGAAAGCGCAGGTAGGGCATAGGCCCATATGCTGCCGCCCAAGGCTGTCACACACCTAGGGAGGTGTGATGGTGCGGTCAGGGGGAGAGGCTGGGGAGCCCCTGATCCCTGGTGTGGGTTTGCCTCACTGGCTCAGCTGGGTTGGATTCTCCCGGGGTGGCACCTGTAATGGCAGTGCCTACAAGCACTGCGGTCAGTACTACAGGGAGCCCTGCCCACAATGAGGGTCAAAGGTAGATATCAGCATCTTTACCGAATCTCCGAACCCGAGGATTTTTTCTTCCAACTCCTTCCATGCCTGGGTGACAACTGAGGAGATACAGACTCCCTCCAGCACTGCATAGCACAGGATCATCACTGCTTCCTTCCTCTTCAGGGCAAGAAGACTGGCAGAGAAATGGATGAAGGAGGTCAGGTCTCTTCCCTTGTCAGGAGCTAAGATAAGCCCTTAGGTAAAAACAGAAGGGGAGGAAAACAGGCCTGGCACAAAATGAAAAAACCTTTCAGAGAAAGCTGCACAATGGGTGTGCCAGCATGGTCTGCCTGTGCCTGCGCAACATGGAGGGGGGGCTTTCAGGAACATGGCAAAGGGACTGGAGGAGGAGCACAGCTTCAGGGATTTTCCCAGTATCACCAAAGCAGCTGCTGTGTAGTTTTATCTTTACAATGGCACAGCAAGATCTTTGTTGGAGTCTGCTGAGCGCCAATTATGGGGCAGTCCCACTGTGGTCTGAAGAATACCATGTCTCTCTTCTGCTCGAGCCAATGTTTTTGATGGAAAGAGGAATGAATTGGCAATAATGGTGGTGAATTAACTATTTATCCAAACTCATATGGGAAGTCACAGGTAGAAAACAGGACAGTAGGATAACAACAGTAAGAATGTTTTACGTCTTAGGAACAGCAGAAACTGTAGGCTATTATACAAGAATCATGTGAATTATCAACTATGATGCAGAAGACATAAAAACTCTCATCAAATACTTTTTTCCTGTGACCAGGGAAAAGTCCCAGTGATAAACAGATTAACAGGCAAGAGCAGCAACTGATGATGTTAAAATGTTCTGGAAATTCATTCATGTGCTAATGTGTATGGAGGAGTTTCCCTGAGAGTGGCTGAGACCACAGAGAAGAGATAGATGGAGGAACCAGAGGAAAGTCATTAAGATGAGATTTTCCAACACCTGGAAAACATTTACAGAGAGAGGGAAGCTAAGGGAGCCAGATGTAGCTGAGTGAGGGCACTGCTGAGTGAGTACTTGGTCAGACTGCACTTCTGCCTGCTCCTGAAATGAAGGGAAGCTTCAATGATGACATAGTTTCTCCATGTCTTGGAGGCTTGATAAAGATAGCTCAAATTTCAGTTAGGTATGGGGCTATAGGTCAGAAGTAATTATCCAATGCCCCAACAGCTCACAGTGAGCAGCAGCAAGCGAGCATGTCAGGATCTCTGAAGTGCCTCTGAAGGCACTGCTCTCATTTAGATACTACAAGAGAACCTGGAAAATCTTGGTCACAAAAAATGTCTCCATGCTATTTTTTTTAAAGATGTTATGGTCAGAATGGTTTTATCAGAGTGCTGCAGATGCTGCTTGAGCCTGCATCGAGACAAGAGAAGGTGTTCCTTCAACACACGGTGTTGTGCTGCACTCTAGACAGGCTGCAAATAGGATTCAGACACATGAACAAATTATAGTGGTGCCAACCCACAGCACATCAACAACACCCACTGAAAAAATGAAGGCACCTAGTAACTGATGTATTGCAAGACTGTGTGTCTCTCAGTCCAATACAACACAGTACAACCAGCCTGGTTGGATGTTTAAGGAGGGAAGATCAGAGCAGAGAAGGAACAAAGTGGTGGTCAGGTGAAGTCTCTGGTGACTGGAAAAAAGGCAATGTCACACTTATTTTTAAGAAGTGTAAAAAGGATGACCCAGGGAACTACCAACCTGTCGGCCTCATCTCTGTGCCAGGGAACATCATGTAGCAGATCCTTCTGGAGGCTATGCTAAGGCATGTGGAAGAGAGGAGGTGATATAGGATAACCAGCATGGCTTCACAAAGGGCAGGTTCTGCCTGACAAGTCTTGTCTTTTATTATGGCATAACTGCACTGGTGGACAAGGAAACAACCACTGATGTCATCTACTTGGACTTCAGTGAGGCCTTTGACATGGTCCCTCATAACATCCTTCTCTCCAAATTGGAAATTGATGGGTGGACTGTTCTATGGTAACTGATACGAAATCTTACCCAGTAGTGGTCAATGGCTCAATGTTTGGATAGAGATTAGTGGCAGGTGGTATTTCTCAGGGGTCAGTACTGAGACCAATGCTCTTTAATACCTTCAGCAGTGACACTGACTTTAAATAACCAGTGGGATCAAGTGCACCCACTGCAAGTTTGTAGTTGATGCCAAGTTGTGCAGTTGACTTGGCCAAAAGACAGAATGCCATCCAGAGAGACCAAGACAGGCTTAAGAAGTGGGCCCAGGTGAACCTCATGAGATTCAATAAATCCAAGTGCAAGGTCTTGCGCCTGTGTTATGGCAACTCTTGCTATCAGTACAAGCTGGGGGATGTAATGATGAAGCACTGTCCTGTCAGAAAGGACTCGGGGGTACTGGTGGATGGCAAGCTGGATATGAGTCAACTGTGTGCCCTCATAGCCCAGGCTGCTTCAAAAGAAGCATGGCCAGCTGATCAAGGGAGGTGACCCTGCCGCTCTGCTCTCTGCTGGTAAGACCTCACCTGGAGTACTGCATCCAGATGTGGAGTTGTCAACACAGGAGAGACATGGACTTCTTGGAACATGTCCAGAGGAGGGCCACAAAAATGACCCAAGGGATGGAACACCTCTCCTACAAGTACAGGCTGAGAGAGCTGGGGCTGTTCAGTCTGGAGAAGAGATGGATCTGGGGAGACCTGAGAGCAGCTTTCAAAAGGGGGCTATGAGAAAGAAGGGAACAGGATCTACAGAAGGGTCTGCTGTGATGGGACAAGGGGAAACGGTTCCAAACTAGAAGAGGAAAGATTTAGATAGATTGGATATAAGGAAGATGTTTGTAAGATAAGAGTAATGAGATACTGAGTAATGAGAGCTGTAGTGGAAGCCCCATCCTTGGAGACATTCAAGGTCAGCTTCACAGGGCTCTAAACAACCTGATTTAGGTTGCAGATGCCTCTATTCATTGCATGGGAGTTGGACTAGATGGCCTTTAATGAGCCCTTCCAACTCAAAAGATTCTATGATTCTATGAAAAGAATGCAAACTGAGGAGAGCAGTGACAGGTAGCAATTCTGACAAATCTGGAAGAAATGAAAATGTGCCAGCACAAAGAGAAACAAAGTCCATGTACTATAGAGAGCGCAGTTCCAAAACCTGTAAGATCTTTTATGTCTACTCCTACATCCCATGAGTCCATATAATCTCTCTTTTTTCTTTCTTTCTTCCTTTCTTTTTTTTTTTTATTCCTTTGTAAACACTCACAGGAAAGCTTTTGAAATTTAAGCAAAAAGTCCCTCTGGTCTGTGCTGATCCCAGCTGAGGATCCTGCCTGTGGCTGTTTAATACAATCTCTTCAGCATTTCACTGTGACTGAGTGCTGGACATCCCTGGGAGAGCAACTAGGGGCAGCCCCTGGGTGCACCTAGTACTACTTCTCTGTAGAGAAGTGTTCTTTGAGTGAGAATTACTTAACACGTTTTTCTCTAGAGCAGTTGCTGCGGAGCAGCCCAAGAGAGCCAGATTTCAGTCTGCTGTGCTGATAAGCCTATGACAGCTGAAGGCAGTCTCTGCCAGCACTCAGATCCTGGCTGCTCAGTTACAGCTGGGTCTCAGGCTTTAAACACTGGCAACCTACCTGGATCAGCTTGGTAGGACTCGTATTCTTTGATTAATGAACCTGACATTATTCTCCAAAATTACCTGAAACAATTTACTCACACATATATATCACTGTTGTTTCACTACTCATTTGCTATTCTAGTGGCATGTTTTGATTTTATTGCTTCTTTATCATACCAGCATGACCAAACCATTAAAGTGAGAAAGACATTAACAGTCATTAAAGATGATATGAATAGCTCTAGTGTTTCCATCACCAAGATAGAAAAAGGTCTTGCTTGCTATATTTTAAAGAAAAAAACAACAAAAAAGGATAACAATAACACGAAGCTAAGAATGTGTTTGCTACTAAGTGGTTTCAATAGACTTTGCTTTTTCCTGCATGCTGCTAGTGCAGCAAGTGCTGCCCAAGCCATATGCAGAGAACTAGAGGCAGAAGGGTAGTGAAAGAGAACTCAGCTCCCACCTTCTTTAAAAAGAGTGCTTCCATAAGCAGCTAGTAAGCAGCAATAAAGCATCTGCTGAATGTTGATGACCTACTTGTTCAGAACAGACTCAAAGTCAGGCGTGGGCAGAAGCCTGTGTTTCATGACAAACTTCATAGACTCATAGATTGTACTCAGTACAGCCTATCTACACAGATCAGAATGCCTCACTCTCCTGAGCACCACTCACTGACTTTGCTGTTGAGCACATATGCAGAAGCACAAAACAAGGTGCTATAGCATCCTCTCACCCACTGAGGAAATAGTCATGCCGTCAGCCTGAGGCTAACAAGAAATTATGTTGCTCTTGCTTTCACATCTATTTTCAGCTCTATCTCTGTTTTACATCTCTGCCCTGAGGCTGGCTGGCCTCACGGTTGCAAGTTGGGTTGGTTTACCAGCCCTGTTTTACCAGCATTAGGTGCACCTGGGCCACTGCTGGTTTCCTTCCCAGAGACCACAGATCAGAGATGTTCCCTGCTGCTACTCATGGCAGCGCTGAGGCTCTTGGTCTGGTCACAGAGACGTTACAGCAATGGTGAAGACCCAGCACAGCCTAACAGCACTGCTGCCCAATCCCTGTACTCATCAACACACTGCTGAGCATGGAGAAGGCTGCTGGCAGGTGTGCAGGATGTTCAAAGATCAGGAAACGTTGAAGACCTGTTATAGGAATACCATCCCAGCTTAGCATCTCTGCACCATAACGTCGTAACTGCTGTCCTGGAAAATGTTTAACAGATACTTATAGGTGATGTTTCAAAGGGAAAGTGAAAAAACACAATTGAGAAAATTCACCTAAGTCAGTAATTCCTCTGTGACAAAAAGACAGAACTTTGGATAAAAGCCCCTCTTGCTTTAGTGACTTGAGACATGGAGCAACACAGCTCAGCCTACTTCACTTTTGGGGTGTCTCTGAGGAGGGCTGGTTGACAACATCCACTTCTCCCTCAACATAATGAAAAGGATTTGGGCCATTACTGTGCAGCTGCTGAACCTCTCTGATATCAGCACATGGCAAACAGGAGAGAAGGAGCAAACAACAGATTCGCGACTTCTGACTTGCGGGGATAGCTGCAGGAAACCAAAACCACTAAGGGAAAGCTAATTTGTTAACAGATTCAGAAAGAAAAAGAGATCTTTTTTTTTCCTTTTAAAGCATATCTCATGTAAGACATGGCATGGTAACAATGTGTTGAAGCCAAAAAGGATTTGTTGACATGTCATGTAACACACAACAGTAAATATCTTACAGTCCATTCATAACAGGAGATGTTTAACAGTACATATTAGGGATAAATCTTTTTGAGTCAGTGAGTCTGAGAAATCTCTCTCGAATTCTTAGCATGAGGGCTGAGGGGATTTCCAGCCAACTGACATCACCTCAAAGTGCCAGAGATGTCTCAGCAGCCTATGCGTGCCCCAAGACCAACAGCACAAGTCAACTGGCAAGTACTGGACACAGGAGTCACTGGGAATGTGGGGCATTACACTGTCTTGGTCCATGCAACAGGAATCTGGCTGTGTCAACAAGACTTGGGATGCTGAATGGGATGCAGGGGTCATACAGGACAAACACTGCAGCAGCAGGAAGCTCTGGAGAAAGGGCAAGGCAATTCTTGTGTTGACATCCTCCGGTGTATCACACTGTGTTGCTGAGTGGAATGTTCAGACCTGGTGCGTGTTGTTGTCCAAAAGGGATGATGAAATTTGCCACAGAAATGAGAGTTGCAAGGCTTTGTCATGTGAGCTATAGAACTCTGCTTAGATTATTCCAGGATTGAAGAAGGGCATATAGGGAACTGTGTGGAGAAGAAATACAAGGAGGTAAGAAGCTTTTTAATTTGGGGGCAGAAAGCACAATAAGAACAAAAAAAAAAAAAAAAAGAAAATAGATACAATAAACTGCATCTTTTTTTCTCCATAATGAATCACTGTTAGCAGAAGCAGTACTGTAAGTGTACTCTGAGTTCTCAAGCTTGTTATTTTGCTGTCATTGCCATCTCTCCCTCAAGGTCACCACCAGCCTCACTGAGTAGCACAGAGCAGCTGCCACAGGGAGGGCCAAGTGAGGAGGGATGGGAGTCCCACTGGACATGAGCCTGCAGGGCAGACGTGCATCCTGGGCCCAACACCCAGGTCACAGCTACACGCACCTGGTGTTAAACCCAGTGCTGAGCAGGACCCTGTGTGCCAATAAGTCCTACCCATCGCTGCAGGAATGGAAATGCCTCAAAGCACAGTGCCCCTGTTTTAGGTCATGCTTTGAAGTCCCTTGGAGAAGAGGCAGGATGTGGCGAGCAGTAAAGCTGACAGGCGCAGCCCAGCTCGCCTTTTTATCTCGCTTGAGTTTAAGCTTTGCTTAGCATGATTGATGGCACTTGGCTGTCGGGTTGCAGACACAGTCAGCATTAGTGTCTTTGAGGAGCCCTGCAACAGAATAACAGAGTGTCATCTGCAATCACAGCGGTCCTTCTGTAATCCCAATATAACTAAATCAGAGCAAGGCTCAATTTCGAGGCAGGGAAAACAAACATATCTTCAGTGAAACATAATTTTGCCTTAGATTACATACACCAGGAAATGTTTGCTGGGCAGTAAAAGCCTCCTGCAGCGTTAGGAAAGAGGATGACATAAGTTACAACCTTGTAAGAAAACAGTTACGGTTTTAAGAATTTGATGCAATTACATGGAGAAGTGGGATCTCAGGCTCAACTCTAGCAGCATGTGGTGTTTTCAGAAGACACCACATGTGCAGTCATGCACAAAGCGAATGCACTTACAGGAAAGTCACTGCCCCAAGACAAAGAGAAGCTGAAATGACGTATCTGTGAAAATCATATCCTCTGTACCAAAGCACAGAAGGATCAAAAAACAAATGAGAGGGTAAGAAAATGCTTTGCAGACCTTTTCTGTTTGGGCTCAGCAGCACCACCTGCCTGAACAGTGATGTGGATGGATCCTGTCAGGTCATCGTTAGGTCAGAGGAATGGAGAAGGATGCAAGAAATGTCTGCAACGAGCTGGACTGTCACAGGTCCGGAGTAGGCCTGCTGTGGGAGCAGCTTTGCTCTTGCAAAGTGATAAAATGCAGATGCTCTCAAAGCCAGAACTACAAACAACCTAGGGAGAGCAGTGCTCAAATCCAGAGCATAAAGACATGCATGTGCTTGAAAAACAATACAGGTCCTGCCAAGGTAGGAGCAAGGCTCTGTGCCCCCTGGCCCTGGGCTGAGTGAAAACAGAGCAACCCTCAGAAATCTTCTCGAACCAGGCTGTATGAAGAAATACCTGCTTGATACTGCATGCAGGGCAGCACAGGGATACAGTGGTGTCTTCCAGAAACCCAAGGCACTGTGAGTTTGAGGAAGCACCTCCTGCAAGTTGCCCAGTCTGCCAATAGCTGGAAGTTGAGAGGAGGGTGAGTGCAGTGTGGGGAGGTGCAGAAGGCAAAGCCCTTCCTGCATGCAGCGCAGGCCCAGCCAAAATGCAATTTACTCATGTCACCAGAACAGCAACAGAACACAGCACAGTAACAGAACATCTGTTAGCAATGTTCACTTTGTGCTCAAGCAAGGGGAGGGAGGTGTCCAAGGGACTGTCCATGCATACACCTGCTCTGGATGAGGCTTGCTCCTGAGTGCTCACCCCCATGCTCAGGGCAGAGCCACTGGCCATGCTGCTACCAACACGTGAGGAACAAGCTGCATGCATAGCACATGGCCATCAGCACTGCACCAAGTGTGGAGCTGAGTCTGCCTCACCTGCCGGGGGGGGACATGTCCTGCATCCTCTGTTTTGCGCCGCTGGTCACACTCCCCAGACCTGAAGTGATGGCGGGGACTTCTGTGCCTTCCAGGGTCTCCAGGGAGAGGGCTGCACTGATGAGCTGCCAGACGCCACGCTGCAGGCGATGCTCCCAAGTGCTCTCTGCCCAGGCATGGGATCGCGAGGGGGCAGGGGCGGGTGGGACTGGCAGGGCAGATGGTGGTACAGGTGGACCCCTGTCCTGCTGCGGTCTGGGCACCACTGGTATGGCTGGTGGGACCTTCCGCACCAGTGGTTTCTGACTTGAAAGTGCATAGGAGTACTTCAGGAGCATGTCCACGTTGGAGTGCAGATGGAGGTCAGCAGGAGAAAGAGGCGGCTTCTCTGGTACTGGGGAGAGAGCAGGACAAGAAGGTTGGGTCAGAGCACTCCAGCAGTTGTTCTCCAGGAGCACGGAGGGCACCCTTCTCAAGGCAGCCAGATAGCTGCCTCCCCTCTTAGCAGAGCCGTGACCATTCTGCACAGGTGATTCCTGCTGGACTGGGACTGGGGATATTTTTGCCAGTCTCACAATTCTTCACAAAAGCACAGCGTGGCTGAGGCTGGCAGCGCCCTCTGGATCATCTGGCCCAAGCCCTGCTCCAGCAGGAACACCCACAGCAGGGTGCCCAGGTCCATGTTCAGATGCCTTCTGGAGATCTCCAAGGAGGAGACCCCACAGCCTCTCTGGGCAACCTGTGCCAGTGCTCCATCATCTGCACAGCACAGAAGTGCTTCCTGGTGTTCAGAGGGAACATTCTGTGCTCCAGTTTGTGCCCACTGTCTTTTGCTCCTCAATCACAAGACCATTCTGTAAGCCAGGAAGAGGGAATTTCCTAGGCAGTGTGCTGACATGCCAGCACTTACATGCCTACCAGTCCCTTCAGCACAGAATAAACCCAAACCTCACAACCAGTTTTTCTGGAGGGAAGAGCAACTATGGGCAATCATCAGGCAATCAGAGGCACCCAGAGCCATTCAGTGTATGCATACCTGCTTCTGTAGGAGAGCTTTCATCTTTTGCCCAAAAGTCCACATCATATGGTTGCTGCTCTGGATGAAGAAGGCCTTTTGGAAAAAACCTCGGACATGGGATTCGCTGAGTGGAAAAGACAGAAGTAAGAGTCCCTTCCTTTCCCCTCCCCTCCCCTCCCCTCTACTTTCCCTGCATTCCTTTGTTTTGTCCCTTGCTTGCATGCATGTGCTCACAGCACTAATTAAAACAATGTGATTTTTGGAGGCATGTGCAAGATTCTGTACAACAACAGTATCTGTTGTCTGTTTTTTGTGTTCTTCCGCTACAGAGATCCTTTTCCTAAATCTGGCCCCTTCCTTCTCCCAGATGACACTTCTCCCTCATGGCCCCAGTCCCACTGCTCACCTTGACATAGAATTTGCGCTTGGAGCAGCGATACTGGGCAAACTGGCAGAAGGTCTGAAACCATGGTGCCTCAGGGAAGGCAGAGCAGACAGGTCCTAGGGATGGGTGAGAGAGAAGGGAGGTAGGGGCAGGCCTCAGGATCAGCCAGAGCATGACTGGAGACCGACATTTCTCAGAGAGATGCTTATTTTCAGGGCATGCTTGTGATGAATGGAAAGTTAAAGCTGCCCCCAGGTGGAGATCACAGTTTGGTACTGCTAAAACTCCTGACATTTGATGACACGTGTTTCACTATGCACTCCCCAGCAGTTCAGTTCACCCATCTGCCCTTATCTACATGGCATCTTCCTTTTTACAAAAAACCAAACCTCCTGTTTGCAGGACACAATAAGGATTCTTATTATTCACTAAATCACAGAATGGTTTAGGTTAAAGAGGACATCTGAATGTCACCCGGTCCAATGCCCTGCTCAAGCAAGGCCACCTAGAGCACAAAAAAGGCAAGTAGCAGTGTGGTAGGTTAAGAGATGACCAGACCAGATCTGGGATCACCAGGGAAGACAATCTCTACAGAACAAAATACATAGGTCACTCTGAAAGTAGTGCTTCCTGTTTATTTGTATGGAAACTATAACTGATACAAAGAGCACAATAACACTATTTGATAGAGCAAATTCTCTTCTACAAAACACTGTTTTTCAACATAGTCACCACCATTAGCTAAGCATTTTCACCAGCAATTTTAACAAGAGCCTGCATGCTGTGCTTGAAAATATCTGTACCAGTGGAGATGACCCACTGTTCCACAGCTGCTACAACAGCATTGTTGCTAGGAAAACGTTGCTTATGCAAATCATCTTTCAGTGGCTCAAACAGATGGAAGTCAGAAGGCACCAATTCTGAACTATATGGTGTGTGTGTTAGGACAGTCCAGCCAAGACTGGCAATGTATTCCATGGTCTTCCAACTGGCATGGGGCCTGGCATTATTGTGTTGTAAGAGAAAAGTTGTCTTCTTTTCTGACCTGACTCTGGAAGTTCAAGCCCTTAGTTTAGTAAGCACTGTGATGTAGTGGTAGGAGTTGATGTTTTGTCTGAGTTCCAGAAAATGCAGAAGGCTCACCCCTTTCCTATCTTAAAAGACAATGCACATTACTTCACCCACTGAGGAATGTGTCTGAAACTTTTTCTTCGATGGAGAATTCACTATGGATTGCTGTTTCAATTCCAGCTCATAGTGATGACTCCATCTTGTCACCATTAATGATATGATCCAAGAAACTGTAATCTTCAGTCTCATATTGGTTCAGCAGGTCCTGACAAACTTGCATACAGTGTTCTTTCTGTTCCTACATAAGCATTTATGGATCCACTTGGAAAAAACTCTGTGATATTCCAACATTCCCACCATCATTTCCAATGCATCACAGATGATATTCAGCTTCATACACAGTTCCCTACTTGTGATCCACTGATTTACATGGATGAACTGATTGAGATGCTCTTCATTTCATGATGTGACAGCTGTGCATGAATGCCTGCAACATGGCTTGTCTTTCACATCACTGTCGCCCCTGCTGAAATGCACCACCCACTGCCTCACTGTGCTCACATCCACTGTTTGGTCTTCATAAACATTCAGCAAGCATCAGTGAATGCTAATGGGTGCAATTTTTTCCCACATGGCGGAATTCAGTGATTTATCTTTGCTTCATCTTCACGCCCATATCAGACTCCATTCTGTCAGACTGCCCCTCTGCTGCCATCTGTAGCATGGCAACAAAACGTACTGGAATATTGGCAGGGAGGTTTAGTCTCTGCTGCCACACCAGCAACGTCCATCCACCTCTGACACTGTGGGTCAAAATAAATAATAAAACAGGAAGCATCACTTTCAGAGCAGCCCTTGTAAGTTTGTAGTGATTCTAGCTGTACCAGGGTTACTGGAAAGTCCAACATGCTGTGGGCAAAGACTGTGCCTGTGCATACCTGTACAACGGCCTTGAAGGGCACTGCTGACCTTACTGGCTCAAATCTGCAGCCCAAAACCCTGGGAAATTTTGGGAAAGAGGTGATTTTGTGCTCCACCTGCTCTGTGCATGCATGAGCAGAGCAATTCCATGACTGTCCACGTCTGCAGGAGAGCTTTGAGCTCTGTGTGCTCACCATTTTGGCCTGTGTCCTGCCTCCAGACCTGCACCAAAGCTCCTCCAGCCATCCTGCCCACTCGTGCAGCATGCTGTGAGCCCGCAAAGAATGGAGGAGCCACTCATGGACCTCCTTGCTCCTCTGAAGCCCAGAAGAACCCTTTGTGGTCCCAGCAAAATGCAACACCCTCAACCCAGCTATGTGTAAGCAGGTAGGGTAAGTTTTAGAGAGAAAAGTGCCTTTGGGAATCCTCAGAAAACAACATAGTGACTGTAGGACTGGCCCCTGCAGGCCTGCCAGGGGGGTTCAAACACTGATGGAGGTGGTGGAGATGGTTTTTTTCAGCACTCATTGTGCAGAAACCGGAGCATCCCATCCTGTCATGTTAGCTTAGAGTTGACTGTTACTTTTGGCAAAAGCAATGGGCAGACCCAAATATGAAGATGATCAGAAATCAGGGAGGACAGATCTGTCGCACCATACGGAGGCAGACACAGGCAAAATGCCGAATAAGTCAGCAGTTTTCAAAGGAAGTGAGGAAGATGCAAGGTTCTACATGTAAAAAACATGCAGAAAACACCACAGGTGTTACCTGCACGTGGGGCTGATTACTTGAGAAGTGCTCTGCCATGCAGTAAGCAGGAGGCCATAGACCTGTCTAAATGGTACCTCTTCTCTTGTGCTCAGCATAAAGATTAACCAGTGAAAATAGAATTTCAGCTGTTTATCAGGAACCCAGCCCAGAAAAACTCCCAACTTGACTGAAATGAACCTGACATCTCAACAAAAAAAACCAACCTTTGCCTTTTCTCTGAATCCTCTGACATTCTTGCCAGGAGGAGACCTTCCAGCACTGTTAATTTAATCCATAAGATCTTTTACTTTGTTCCTGTGCTCGTCCTGCCTGTTTGCTTGCTGCAAACAGCTACAGCTTCTGCTGGATCTCAGGAGGCCATCTCTTTGGGCTTTGTGGCCAACTCCATGTGCAGGAACTCCAAGCCCTGAAGGGTTTCCAAGTAACAAGCAATTATTTTACAATTACATCTTCGCTGAAAGATGGAGCCAGCCAAGTTACTTTTACACCTGTGTTAGGAAAACTTCCTCTTGACTCAGTTCATCCACATAAAAGAACACTAGGAGGTTATATGTACATTTCATAGAATCATAGAATCATAGAATGGCCTGGGTTGAAAAGGACCATAGTGATCATCTAGTTTCAATCCCCCTGCTATGTGCAGGGTCATCAACTACCAGACCACGCTGCTCAGAGCCATAGTGACTTAGGCTAGAAGGGACCTGAAAGTTCCATATCTGCCACAGGGAAGGGCTGCCACCCTAAGCCCTGATGCCCAGCGCCCCATCCAACCTGGCCTTGAACATCTCAAAGGATGAGGCATCCACAACTTCGCTGGGCAGCCTCACCTCCCCAGGTGAATCATTTTTCCTAATACCCAACCTAGATTTCCTCTCGTTTAGTTTAAAGCCATTCCCTCTTGTCCTATCACTATCTGTCCATGTAAAAAGCTGGTCTTCCTCCTGCTTATTAGGCCCCTTCAAGTACTGGAAGGCTGCAGTGTGGTCTCCCTAGAGCCTTCTCTTCTCCAGTCTGAACAAGTGCAGCTCCCTCAGCCTTTCTTCATAGGAGAGGTTTCTCCATCCCTCTGATCACCTCCATGGCCCTGAACTTCCCTTGTTTAAAGCACAACATAACTGCTTTCCTGAGTACCACATGTGAAGAAGCACAGTCAACACTCACGAATGCCAGGACTGCCCAAGTCCCTGCAGGCAGTGGCTAAGCTGCCCGTGTGGCTTCAGCAGAGGGTCCCTGCTGCAAGGGAAATGCAGGAAGCTTCAGAATGAGATAGATGGGGACCGAAGATGTTGGTCAACAGACATCAACCCCCTCTGCTGTCAGGGTACTTGGAAGTGAGAGGTCCACAGCAGAGCAGCAGTTGGAATGTCTCCAACCACTGGCATGGTGGCTTGGTGGTCCTCAGTGCTGGGCATTGCCTGTAACAAAACAAGCAGCAGCCCTGGATGCACCTAGTTCCTCAGTGTCAGGTGCTAGCAAGTGAGGCAGGAAGCCCAGGACCTCTCCCTGGGTCTGTTGGTGCAGGATGGGAACCATTCTCCTGGCACAGCTGCAGAAACAAGCAAGAAATAGTTGCCCTCAAGCTGCAGTCCAAATAAGCATAGACGTTTGGATAATCATTCATTTCATTGACGTTCACAGCTAAATATAAAGACATATTTTTTATGAGAAAATTGCTCCTATTTTTTTTTTCTCAGAAGAAAAATACAACAGAAGTAGTCCCAAGTTTTTCAGCTGCAGAGATATAATTATGCCACTTAAATTCTCTGATGCAGGGGTGCAGAGAAAGTATGATTGCAGAGATTTAAAGGGTGCTGTTGCTATGGCACTTTCTGAACTGGGATGTTTCTTGGCTACAGAAATGTTAAACACTTTAAAAAGCAGCTTATCAGCTCAAGGTTTCTTAAAGGCCTACGAAAGCCTTCTGCATTAAACCCTAGATCTAACTGGAAAGAGCTGTTCATTTCAGCAAGGGTAATCTGGGAGGAATGAAGAGACGCTGCAGAAGCATCCAAAGATGAAGTTAGGAAAGCTAAAGCCTAGATGTAACTGAATCAGGCCAGAGATGTCAAGGACAATGAGAAGAGCTTCTGTAAGTTATTGGGTAACAAGAAAAGACCAGGGATAATGTGGGCCCATTCCTTAAGGAGACGGGGACCAAGTTATGCAGGACATGAAAAGATTTGAGGTACTGGATGCCTTCTTTGCTCCAGTCTTTACTAGCAAGAATAGCCTTCAGAAATCCCTGGTCCCAGAAAAGAAAGGAAAAACTGAGGCTGTATTCTTGGTGGAAGACAATCAGATCAGGGAATACTAAAGTGAACTGGATCCACGGATGTCAATGGGATGAACCCTCAAGGTGGCAGATGTTATTGTGAGTGTACTTTTGGTAATTCTTGATCAATCATGGAGACTGGAGAACTGCCCAAAGACTAGAGGAAAAGCAAATGACACTGCCATTCTCAAGAACAGTGCGAACCGTGGGAAACAGAGGCTAGTCAGGCTCAAATTGGTCCCTGAGAAAGCGCTGAAGCTGTAATAATGAAAACCATTTCCAGACATGTGAACAACCAGAAAATCATCAGGAGCCATGCTAGACCAACAAGATAAGGTTCTATAATGAAATAACTGCCCTGGTAGATGAGAGGAGAATGGCGGATACTGTCTATCTGGACTTCAGTAAGGCCTTTGAGGCTGTCCCATAAGATCTTCATAGAGAAGTATTTGATGTGTGGGCTGAATTGGCACACAGTGAAGAGGGTTAAAAACTGACTGACTGGCTGAGTCCTGAGGGCAGTCGTTGACAGTGAAAAGCCTAGTTGGAGGCCAGTAACTAGTGGTGTACTACAGAAGTCAATATTTCATCTGGTTCTATTCAACACCTTCATTAATGATCTAAATGACAGTTTACAGAGTCCAACAATGGGCCACAAAGATGATAAAGAGACTGAAATACTTCTCCTACCAGGAAAGGTTGAGAGAGCTGAGACTGTTCTGCCTGGATAAGAGAAAGCATAGGTGGATCTCATTAGTGTCTATAAACACCTATGGGAGGGTGCAGAGGACAGAGCCAGGCTCTTTTCAGTGGTGCCCAGTGCCAGGACAAGAGACAACAGGCACAATCTGGAGCACAGGAGTTCCAGCAGGCAGCCCTTGTTTACTGTGGATGGCAGAGCAGATCTTTCAGATATTCAGAAGCTGCCTGAATATGGTCCTGGGCACCCTTGCTGTGAGTGTTCCTGCTATAGGAGGAGTTGGACCATGTGAACACAGAGGACTCTGCCACCTGAACCACTCTGTGATTCTGTGAAGAGGAGAGGTGATATAATAACAGCCCACAATGACTTGGAGGAGAGCTAAAGAACAAGAAAGAAAACCTCTTCTTGATGATGGCCAAATGAAATAAGAAAGAAAAATCTGCAAATTCCTGCTTGAGAGGTTCATACTGGCCACTTTTTTTGCAAGAAAAGTGGCACAGCACTTGAAGCTCCCAGACAGGCAATCAGACCACCTTTGGAGGCTTCCTTAACTTGTCTGCCCAAAGCCAGGGTGATCTAGTGCTGAGACTGAACTGCTCTGAGTTTGACTTTGGACTACAGACCCCAGAAAGGCCCATCCCCATTCCCACTGTCTGCAGGCATTTTGACAGCTACTGCTTCTGGAGATGAGGTGATCCCAGCAGCACCCTGAGGTATTCACAGTGTCCTACCTTCAGGGACACGGCCATGGTTCTCCTGCTGGTCCAGCCGCAGGACTGCAGGGCTGAGGCAGCCGAAGGTCTGACGTAGGTGGCAGGATGCATGAGCCTTCCAGGTTGGCCACAGGCTGGAGAAGAAGAGCTGGTACTCACCATCAGACAGGGGGCTGCCCACGGGAGGCACTGGTGGCGCAGCAGAGGATGCCAGCAACATCAGCAGTCCTGGGGAGACAGCAGGATGTACTTCCTCTCTTTTGCCTTTGGCTGGGGTCCCCCTTCTCTCCTACATCCCCTGCGCCACCTTCCACTCCATATCCTATCTTGGAGCCTCCAGATCCCCCCCTAATTGAGCATGATTGAGGGCTGGAACAGAGAGCAGGCCCAACATGGTGATCTTGTGAGAGGCATGGGGCTGGAGGAGATGTGGAATGAGGGCACAGTAGCAGGGAATTCCAACATCCACCCCCCAGACTAGGCATAGTGCCCCAAGGCCCTGCTCTGGCCCCTGGGAGGCTGGGCAGCAGCCTAGGTAGTCACTCACCCAAAAGGGAGGGCAACCTCAACATTTCTAGCCCTTGCCCAGCACTCCTGTCCTGCTAGGCCTTCTGCTTGGTGGCCATGGCAGCAGCGGAATGAGAAGGGGATGGCATCACAGCTGGAGCCTGGAGGGACATGAGCCCCGCTGGTACCAGTAAGGTGGGAAAGGCTGGTGGGAGCTCACAGGGACATGAGATGCAAAGGGTTGATGAGGAGACATGTGGACACAAGTCCTGCTGATACTAGTGAAGTGGGAAGGGCCGCTGGGCACTGGGGTGACCAGTGTAGGAGACCCAATGCACAGGCTCATGATGTGAAAGGGCTCTAGCATGGCCATTCCACAAGGGATGAAGGAGCTGGTGCAGAGAGCAGATAGCTGGAGACGAGGGGACAAAAACAATACCAAGGAGCAGGAGCCAAGCGTGTCCCTTATAACTTTAAAACATGTTGTGCTCTTCTGCAGAAGAAAGGATATAAAACTGATTCCTTTTCTACCTGCAGAGACTGAAGCCCACCTCATGTCTCCACAGAGAGTGTCCTAGCAGCAACTTGCTTCAAGAATCACTAGGAAATTGGGATCACCTCTCTTGGACAGCTGTACCACTTTCTGGTTGATTAGAGTCAATGGAGCATCTTCCGGAGGGAGTGTCCCAGTCAGTAGGGAACAGAGCTGTGCTCTGGACATAAACGCCTCCCTGGAAAAAGGAGGAATTTTGTCTGTGGAGTTGGAAGAGCAGCACTGGTACAGCCTGTGAGCGTGGAGCGGCCCAGGGGCATTCAGCTACCAAGGCTGAAGCCCAGGGAGCAGACACAGTGACCCATGAACACACTGCATGGTTGATGGCCAGCAGTGCTTGGGAGAGCCTCCTTTGGCTGGGTGCCTTCTGATGTGACAGAGAATGACCACAATCATCACAGGCAAGAAGCTATCAGTGTGGCTGCAAAGCAATGTCTGGCACAGCCAGAAAGCCAGAAACTGCATCCATAAGCAAAAACCAGGGCAGCACAGCAGCTTTCAGTACCCACTGCAGCACCACACAGCCTTATCTGATCTGAGATCTGCAGGCAAAACAGAGTGTTGGACAGCCCAAACAGCAGGAAGCCCCTGAAAAAGAGGCTTCCAATGCAGATCGTAGGAGATGCAAGCAGCTCTGCTTTGTACAGCAGCTGCAGAGAGAATTGCAGATATGCTGGCTGCCCTTGCAGAGCACCAGCTGCCAGTGAACAAAGTGGCCACACAAGCTGCCAGGAAAGATCAAACCACCGCAGCCAGGCACTACAAAGGCATCTGGCAGCAGCACAGAGCTCTGTGACTCTCTGCAGGAGACAAGCTACAGTTTGCTCCAAGAGGTCCTGTTGACAGGCAACACTTCCTAGAAGCTTGAAGGCCAACCATTTAACAACAGCACTGAGTTTTAGGATGCTTTTATGGCATCTTTCAAACACAGTGAGCAGGAGACATTTTCTAGCTGTTTCTTGCCACTCCCATTGAAACAGACAACAAAGCTCAAGCTTTTTCCATTTCTTCTTTTTTCCACTGCAGAGTTTGAGATGCATTTTAGACATCTCTAGAGCCTTCAGCTCCCCAGACTCATGAATCACCTCTGCTCTGCAGTGACAGCAGAGCCCAGGCTATATTCTGCCATCACTGGGCATCTCCCTGGGGGAACATAATGCTGACCTCAGTGGCTGATGGAAATTCATGACTGAGGAAAGCACCAATCTGGCACATCACACAGGGTTATCACGAGAGCTCCTGTTTGGACCTCCTGTTTATGGCATATAGATGAAGGAAACAAGAATGAGTGTGCCAGAGTCCCTGAATGTACACTGGGAATTCAAACATGAGGAATATGATGAAAGAGCTGACAAAGGAATCATCCTTGGTTGACTTTCTAGTCAGATCCTAGGGAGAGCTACTGTGCATTTAGAAAAACTATGTCTAGTGATATGAGGACAGGTTGGCTGCCATGTACCTAAAGACTTTCTGAGGCTGAGTCCATCCTACCTCTGTGAGCTACCTTGGGTTCAGTTCAGCTTGTCAGAAATCCTTCAGGGAATTCTTACGGCCCACAAGTACACAGGTACACTACATAGGAACAGCACTGTGTAGTGTGCACCAGCCAGGGAGATAGTGAGTGCAGGGGAAGCTGTTAGGCTATGATTGTGCCAGCTGGCTCTGTGACACTTCTGTTGTATATTTCTGCAAATACTATTTTATCTTCAGGGCAAGGATGAGGACAGGATAAACATTTTGAACAGGAGTCATCAATACAGAGAGCTTACAGGGGCTGCTCCCTGCTGTGGGGTCAGCCGTCTGCAAAGTACAGCACAAGAGTGAGGTTAATTCCAGTATTTCCTGACATCTGAGGGCTATCTTGGCACCAGTAAAGTTGCACCACTGATGCCACACTACAAGCTCTATCATTCATGCCCTGGATCAGATTTGCAGCCTTGTTTTCAGAAGCTTGCGCTTCCTGCAGATATGTTCCTGTACTTGTCTGAGAGGAGCAGGCTGTAACCCCCAGGCCTACAGCACATCCTGCAGCAAGTACCGCCAATAGCACTGCTGCTGCTGAAGGAGGATCTGTGTTTTTCATGTCACTGTCTGATTGCTGTGTCCCCAGACACCACTGACAGAAAAAATGCCTGAAAACCCAGGAGCATAGCTCACAGGCCCTTCCTCCTCTGCTACCAGAGAACAGTGCCCTTTCCTCGATCAGGCTGATGGAAAACATCATAGGATGGAGGTAAGCACACAGAAATGTGCTGGATGTGATGTGCTGATGAAGCCTGACCAACCTCGTGCTGTGCTGCTCCTGTGAGGTGCTGATGGCCTGGCACCAAGCTGGGCCCTGGTCCTGCTGGGCAAAGGGGTGCGTGGAGCCAGGTCAGAAGTGGGGAAAGGATGTGAGCTCCAGCCTACTGCGAGCAGGGCTGGCGTCTCCACAGACAAAAGCACGAGACAGTGTGGTGAACTAAACCGAAAGGATACAAACTGATGAGTTTAATAACAGGTTACCTAATCTTTGCTCTGAGTTGCACTTTATTTTTGTAGGTTTACTGTCACTGACCGAGAACTATTTGAATGTGCTGATAAACACAGCCTTTACATTAAGATTAGCACTTGTTTTAACTTGGTGGATGCATTGATCTATTCACATTTATACAAGCACTGTACGGTAATAATGTGCATTAATTCCAATACCTAATTTACATTTTATTTTGTTAGGAAATAATGAAGTATTCTTTTACTCCTCATTTAGAAAATGGAATATTTAATTGATTGCAAAAACATCATTTTAGAATGGTTTCTTGAATTAATAATACAATCTAAAATGAGGCAGATTCTTAAAAGCATGCTTGAATGAACTGCTCTGGCCTTTTAGGCAGGCTGGCTTAGGGCAGAACAACCTGAGCACAGCCCAGCCTGGGGGCTGGGCAACAGGGCTCCTGAGGTTCCTCCCCACCTAAATCTTTCTGTGGCAACTGAATAGCATCATTCAGGCTTTTAGAACAAGGAAATCTCACGGTCTCACACTTTTTCTGAATGCTCGTCATCGATGTGTAAAAACTAATTCCAGCCTTTTCTCCTCCCAGCCTTGTTTCCTGCTTTGAACAGGTTATCCCCTCAATGGCAGTGACCCAATCCACTGAAATTAAATTGTACAGAAACTAAATTGTGCAGAGAGCAAATCTGCAAAAACAGACTGAAGTGGACAACTTCGAGAACATTTTCAAATCAGTAGGAGCTTAGTGTTCATCACAGGTTTGCCTCTCCTTATGACACAGGCAAAAATGTCTTTTTTAAACTAACTTTTTTTTTCTAATGCATTCAGAAGAATAAACATAAATTAGCATATATTAATCAAGATGCTCGACTATTTTTATAAATGAAATGCATTTTATTTGATAAAAACATACATCTCCTGATACTGCAACTACTAGGCAACAGAGTTGAAGAAATTTCCTTCAGTTGTATTTGGAAAGAAAGGCAGGACACTGTTTTCTGTCTTGGTTTTGTTAGTCTTTAACTCTATTAATGCATCACTCAAGAAAAGTTAAGCACAGCAGGTCAGTTTGAAGGAGGATATCACCTCCCCATTGGAAATCCACCACAAGAGAGATAAGAAGCTCAAATAACCCAGCCAAAAGGAATGTGTATGCTCACTGCTTATCCATGGACTTGGATGTCAACCCTAAGGTCCCTTCCAACCTGAAGCTCTGTCCTTCCTGTACATGGCAGGTCCACATGTAGTCACAGAGCCACTTAGAAAATTGTCTTGTGGAGCTAACAGAGCCTTATGATTTCTCAGCAGTGGGAGTGTTGGGCCTGGACTCATGGAGGAAAAATCCATACAGTTAACAGTGTTATTAACCTCAGAAACACAAGATCCAATTTCTGCTTGGACATAAAAATAAAACTCTTTGCACACATTTTATGCCAGCAAGGCTTTCTGCAAGATCCTTAGCCAGAAATCTGAACTATCACTGATGAGACTAAGGACAGCTCTTCCTGGTTCACACAGCAGGGAGAAAAGTACCTGTGGTCATTTATACAGGACAACTGCTCAGAGACTGCTGAACCAGCCAGGTCTGCTTAGTGCAGGGCCCTGCTTCCAAGTTCACTTGGAAGTTTGGATTATCACCTTAGACAAGCCACCAACATGCAGCTGGGACATGAGCGATGTGTCTTGCCCTGCTCCAGCAGAAACGAAACATCAGTGATCCCATTGCCACTTTGATGATGACTCACTGCAGCTGTGTTGCAGTGCTCAGTCACCTCAGCAGCCCGCATGCCTTTAATGAAGCTTCACTGAGGTGAGAGCACAACGAGATACCCTTCATGTCCCCTTCTGGAACTTGGAGAAAGCATCACCCATTTCTCTGCAGATGCTGGAGGGGAACAAACCCAGTGTATTCTGCAACTACCACCTCCTGATAAGGTGCATCTGTGCATCTGCAATGAGAAACATCCTGGAAGAAGCTGATCTTATTTTCAGCCATTAGAAGCAAGCTATCTCTCAGGTAAATATATTTTTCTTCTCTGCTGTCAGCTTGAGATCTCCTGACTGATTTGGTCAGCATTTGAATCAAAGCCCTAAGCTCATCAGCAACATCACCTTTTTCTTGGAATCATACAGCAGCCACTTCCTATCTAGTTTGCCCTGCTGCAGCACTGTGCTACCCCCACACCTCACTCGCCTGAGGACTGGCAGCAGCCCGGCTTTGTAGGGGAAATGGAACCAGGTGACCTCCAGGAGTCCCTTCTAATCAGTGTTTCCAACTCTCAGATACATATATTTATACACAGTCATTTTCTCATAAGAATTCATCCCCAATAATTTCAGTGAACACCACCAAAGTCTGCACTCGCTCTGCTGCCTGGGAATGATGCCCACTGTTAAGAAAATTGCATAGTGAGAAGATAAACAGGTCGTTTGTGTGCATGGCCAATTTTTATTAGTAAATGCGCTTACAGAAGTCGGCACAAGTCCTACCTCTTGTAGTGCTGCATGGCTCCAGCTACTGAATCTCAGATTTGACTTTAGCCATTAACTATGTCATTACCGATTGCTCCAAGAGGCAATTTCTCCAGCTCCATTTGAGAAGGTGGTTATGTTGTGCTGACTGCTATTGCAATGAATCTGTCAACCACCCAGCTCTATTCAAAGGAATTTGTGATGACTCTAACATAGTTTCTCCCCTTCTTAAGCATTATAATCAAACTTTTGGATGAAGTAGAATTTTTGGATACTTACCCAAGCGATTATTCCCATGACAAGTAACTATTAAAAATGACCTTCCAAAAAAAAAATCACATCAGGTCATTTTTGACAGATTTTCTCTTTGCTACTTCTGGTCAAAACATTTTTATTGACCTGGAATTCTCCTTTGTTTTAAACAGAAGCAGTCTGCTTATGAGTTCTGCCCCTGTTTCAAACATAGGCTGATAACAGCCAGCTGACTTGTAGCAGTCCCCTTTTCATCTCAGAAGTCCAGCATAGAACTGCTGCTTTTCCAACGTTTCAAACCTGTCTGGTTTTGGAACCCAGGCACCTGGGGCAGTTTTCATGGGGCTACGAATGCCATTTACTGAAGATTACCAATTCACATTGTTCTCCCCAATAGACGCCGTTTAAAATCCTCCTTACTGTTTGCCTGGGAACTGTATCATTCCAATATGACACCAGCACAAACTCATAATAAATATTTTCAGAACACTTCCACCTCCTCTCATTACAAACAATTCTGCTATCTGCAGTTGGTAATGGACATGTGCCATGTTCAATTACACCAGAAACAAAAGGCATTCTAAAAAAAGCTGCTTGTGTATCCAGCTCTGTCACTTGCAAGCTTTGTTTCCAATGGCTTCAGTTTTGTACTTGGTCATTTCTAGCTTCTATCGATTCTATTATTTTCTCCCTTTTGATGATTAAATTTTGCAGTTACTGCATTCATTCCTTCTCTTTCAATGCCAGTTTTTAACATCCTTTCATCTGTCATTGTAAGCCATTTAAAAATTCTTGGTTTTCACGCATATTTCTGCTGAAATTCCCACTTTAAATATCTCTCTAGTACACGCTTCCCAGAGAGCTTCCAGCTAATGCTGGTCATCACAACGCAGAGGCCCATCTCACCAAAAGCTATTGCATCCTTTGTCATTCTTGCACTTGGCCCAGTGGCACTTTTCAACTACAGATTGCATCCTGCCTTTGCTCTGCTAGTTCAGCACTCATTTGGTCAGCGGACAACGTAGGAGCCACTGATGCCATCTATCAGAACTCTGGTGAGGCCTTTGACACAGTCCCCATAACATCCTTCTCTTCAAATAGTAAAGTAATGGATTTGATGGATGGACTGTTCATTGGATGAGTAACTGGTTACAAGATCGCACCTAGTAGCAGTCAACAGCTTAATGCCCCCATGGAGATCAGCGACAAGCAGTACTACTCAAGGGTCAGTACTAGGAGCAATGCTCTTTAACATCTTCACCACAGACACAGGCAACGGGTTTGAGTGCACCCACTGCAAGTTTGTAGACAACACCAAATTGCATGGTACAGACAACACACCCAAAGGACAGGATGCCATTCACAGAGACCTAGACAAGCTCAAGAAGTGGGCCCAGGCAGATATCATGACATTCAATAAATCCAAGTGTGGGGTCTTGCACCTGGGTTGTGGCAACTCTTGCTATCAAGACAAGCTGGGGGATGTAAAGATGGAGCACAGCCCTGTGAGAAAGAACTTGAAGGCACTGACAGATGGCAGCTGGACACAAGCCAGCCATATGCCCTCGCAGCCCAGAAAACCAACTGTATCCTGGGCTGCATCAAAAGAAGTGTGGCCAGCAGGGCAAGGGAGGTGATCCTGCCCCTCTGCTCTGCGCTGGTGAGACCTCACCTGGAGTACTGCGCCCAGATGTGGAGTCCTCAGTACAGGAGAGACGTGGACCTGTTGGAACACATCCAGAGGAGGGCCACAGAAGTGATCCAATGGATGGAACACCCCCCCTACAAAGACAGGCTGAGGGAGCTGGGGCTGTTCAGCCTGGAGAAGAGAAGGCTCCAGGGAAAACTGATAGCAGCCTTTCAATATCTGAAGAGGGACTATAAGAAGGAAGGGACAGGCTCTGCAGCAGGGTCTGCTGTGAGAGGACAAGAAGTGGTTTCAAATTAAAAGAGAGGAGATTGGAAATAAGAAAAATTATGTACAGTAAGGGTAGTAATAATGCACTGGAACAAGTTGCCCAGACAAGTGTTGGAAGATCTGTACTTGGAGACATCCAAGGTCAGGCTGGATCAGGCTTTGAGCAAGCTCACCTAGCTATAGATGTCCCTGTTAATTGCAGGAGAGTTGGATTAGATGACCTTTAATGGTCCCTTCCAACTCAAAAAATTCTGATTCTAGGAACTGATTAAAATGATAAAGGCGATCTTCAGTAAAGAACATTTCCTCACCTGCCAAGATTACAACTCTACCTTATTAACAGTACCTGGAGTTTCTGGCAACTTGTCCACATTCTTGGATGCAAAAGCTATGCCCTGATAGCTTATTTTCTTAGTGTTCTGCCTGATAGCCATAGTGAGGGCTGGTCATCTATGTTCTTCCTCACTCATTTAAGAGAGGACTACTGATGAAAAAAAAAAATCCAACAAAAATGGCAATAAGCATCTTGTTATTTGTGAGGATATGACTAAAGAGGGAGATGTTCTCCACAGACATTAGAAAGCTTAGAAATTCTTTCACAAGTGTATAAGTTTATTTTAAAGGATGACCTTGGCAGAACGTTGAGAATTATTACATGAAAAAAGCTCTGCTGCATTCATCAGCAGAAAAGCTGAGCTGAGAAAGAACTAAGAAAGAGACCAATTACTTACTTCGGAGGTAACAGCAAGACAAACTGAGCATTTGTTTGAATTAATTTTATTTAATTCTATAGTATACAAGTGGGATCTGGATCCCCGAACTTTCCATCATCAACATAATGGAGAAGCTCCACTGTACTACAGGGAGGGAGAATTCTGGTGCCAGAAGACAGGCTAGATCAAACCGTTTCTCACCACATGGCCAGAAATTCTTCTTCCTTCATACAATGTGCTTCCCAGGAGAGCAGGTTTACCCCAGGAGTAAGAGAGAAAGCTAGCTCTAAACACTCCTCCTTCCTCCTTGCCCCAGCGAAAGAGGCTGCTCAATGCCAGACAAAGTAGTGGAATGTTAAAGATAGGGAGTATATTAAGTTTTCAGTCTCTCAACCAAGCTACTAGATTAAGCAGTGGCCTGGTTACTCCCTCTCTCCTGAAAAAGATCCAGGAAAATAGAAGACCTAAAATGCTGAAGACTTACCTCCTTTCCTTCCCCCATCCCATAGCCTTGTTCTCTCAGCAGAGAGTAGGCAATGAACTCTGAGGAGGCTGAAGGAAAGCCAAGGAAAATCAGGGGCTACCTGAATCCCTGGGAATCTGGTGGCTACCCTGGTGCCCTCATTCACTCTCTTTGAGGTTCAGAGACCTGTTTGGAATAGTACACAGAGAGGGCCTCCCTTAGGGATTTGGAAGCAGCCAGGGATACAGAACACACTGGAACTGCTGTGAGGGTACACACCATTCCAGGGATGGCCCAAACCACAAACAGGGCAAGACTCCCCCTAGCCAAGGTCCCAAGGGCTGGGGGAGCTGGGACGAGGCCCTGGCAGGGGGAAGAGAGCTCCTGCAGTAGTATTCGAGGCTCATGGGATTTTACTTCTTCTTCCTCTCCTGGGAACAGCGAGGGCAGAACCTGGTAGAAAGGAAAGCAAAAAGCCAGCATTTATGATCTGATATGAACCCTGAATTTACAGTTTCAAAGGATCTTTTCCAAGATACCAAAGCCTTAATTCAAATTTTCCTTCTGAAAGTCTTATTTTCTCTTTTTAATTTTCTCTTATTTTCTCTTCTGTCATTCCCAACCCTCCTCTTTTCAGAGACCAATGGGCCGTCCAAGTATGTTTGTTTTAATCACTCACTCACCATTTTCCTCTTGGTTTTGTTGTCAGACCCACACAGGCAAAATGAAACCATTCGATGGAGCACTGTTGAGGTGAAGAGCACTCAGTTAAAAAGCAGTTCTCTTGAAATCATTGCCTCTGGTCTGCTGAAACTTCCCAATGTTTAATCACAAATTCTGAAATCACTAGTAGCAATCCTAACAGGATCTGTCAAAAAATGGAGTCTCATACCCAACCTATACATCATTAGTAAGCAGAATTATCCCTTGCTGAGTACAGGGCCAAGAAAACATCCATCATATTAGGGAAAAGCCCAAAGAAAACTGCACTTAACTGGCCAGTGCACTGCTCTTCCCAGCTGAAGATGAGATGAACCCTGCTACTACCACTGCTTCTACATCAGGCCCCATCCAAGAAGCACAAGACTTTCTGTAGGAGACTCTCCACTCCTTTCTCCCCCACTTCCATCAAGTACAGGCTCTTACATCTGGGTTGTCGCAGCCAATCATCTCCCCATAGGAGACCTGGTGGCAGAGGCAGTAAGTAGGCTCATTGGGGTCCACAGGCATATCCAATACATCTGAAGGATGCACATTTCCAAATGTGACTGAAGGCATTCCATATTCTGTGCTACTGCAGGAAAGAGAAATAAATCAGGTTAGTAAATCAACTAGCACTGGTTCCCTTCCTATCTCCCATTACAATGCCCTTGCTTGCCAGAGACAGCTGCTCCTTTTTTTAAAGCACATACATCCACATCCACTGGAGCGATCTGTCTTCCCCTTCATGCCACACTCCCTTGAAAAAACTAAAAGGTCTCCTTCCTTTCTTTCCAAGGAAAAACACACAGGATCTGGTCTGGGTGGGGATCAAATTCTTCATAGGGAAGTCTGGCTAAGTCTCCCCTGGTCTGATTTGTAGTGCTACTCCTCATTCCCCCAGGCAAGTGTCTTAAATGCTTACGTGCGGACAAGCTTTAATTTCTTTTGGGCAGTCTTTGGTGCCTCCTCATCAGAATTCTTCCCTTTAGAGCGTGCACGTGCAGCTTTCTTCTCTTTTTGGGCTCGGCCCTCTGGTAACAAGAGAAAAAGTTATTGCATATTCCATTCTGTTAAAATAGACACCTGACAGTAACAACCTCTTCAGCACCAAAATGCAATCCTACTTCGGAATGTACGTTGGCTTTGGGCCATGCATCTCATCTTAATTTTATCTAGTGGCCTTGAATATGCTCACACAAGAAGAGCCCAGGTCACCATCATTTTACCTGTCCTTCAGATTCCAGCGTAACAGTCTGTACCACTTCAGTGCCTGCCTTCATCCCCACCACTTCCACAGTCACTTGGCTGCCTCCTGTATCAATCTGCAGCCCAGTGGTGGTACTCACTCTTCTTGCCCTTGCTGGAAGAACTGTCATAGTCACTCGATTCTATCTGCTTCTCCTTCAGGTCTGCTTCAAAGCGAGCAAGATCTGTGTCCAGCCGCCGAATGTGCTTATCGACCTGCAAAAAAGACAGTGACCAGGAGTTACCACAGAACAGAACCCAAGACAGCAAACAGGAGAGAGTACAGGGCTTGCACTAAGAGCAGAAAAGCAAGAGTGAGGCTTGAAAGAGAGAGATCAGGGTCTTCAGCACAGTCTTTCATAAAACAACAACTAGACACTTCCCTTCATACCATCTCATAGGTCTGCATAGCCAGCTGAACCTTGTCATCCCCAAATTCTTTGCATTTCCCGTAGGCCTCCTGGATTTGCTTGAGAAGCCCCAGTTTTTCCTCTGATGACAAAGTCCGTGCGTTGCTGATATACTCCGTGGCCAGCTTATCGATCTCCGACTTGAGGTCTGAAACAAGTTGACCATTGAACACATAAATACGCGTACATACATACACACTACAGGGTTCTCATAAGAAAGCTGCAAGTTTCCTTCTTTTTCCCGAGGTCCCAGAGATGAAGGCAAAGGAAGAAAAGCCAGCTAGGCTGCATGATTCCTGTCTCATCACAGAAATTATCTCTAATCCTCACCTTCTGTTCTCTGATCCAGATCTCGCATGAGCTGGAAGTTTCTCTGCAGTTCAAAAGGCAGGTTCTCAATACCTGCAGGGAAAGGAGAACACATAGAGAAGTCAAGTCCCTGTCCTCAATGTCAAAACAAAGCTAAGTTAAAGTACTAACTGTTTAACTTAACTAACGCCACAGCAGTCCAGTGATTCCCAGAACTCTCTTCTAGTTCACACTAGCATGCCTCTAGTTGCTGTCAACCATAAAGGAGAAAGACTATAAAAACTTGATGCATTTAACCCAGGAGTTCAATTCTATAGCACCAGATCAGCTAACAGAAAACTGCCACGCAGAAAGCATGAATTAAAATAAGCAGAAAAGCAAAACTTGTAATGCAGTCAGTCATTCTAACACAGCATTCTAACTCCATCCAAGAACTCTCTTCACTAATAAACAAAAAAACAAAAATCAGCACAACAGCTGGTAAATAATGCCATTTAGTTATGTCTACGCAAAGGTATCAAAACTAAAGCTGATCAAATGCTAATTCACTGAAAAGTGAGTCAGGATTAATATTAATTTTAACATATAGAGATAGGAGACTTTGCAGAACCAAAGAACAACTCGAAGGCAGGAAGAAACAGTAAACAGCAGTCTTAACCCCCTGCTCCTGGTTCTGCCTTCTATACTAAAACCTCAATACGGCCTGTCCTGCACGTGGAAGGATGCTAAACATTGTGAATAGCAAAACATTTGCACAGCTCTGAACAAGCAACACGAAGCTGATAGCCAATTAATTTCCAACGCGCTGTGCTACTCAGCGCCTAGTCATCACCAGATGCTCAGCTGACAAGCCTGATAAAAACAATTCTTACTTTGCCATGCCTCTCTAATCAAACTGAGATCTACTGTCATTACATTAACCTGAAGTCCAAGCTTGATTGTTGTCAATATTACACCGAATAAATAACTAAAAAAAAAGAAATCTTGCAAGTTGTTGCTGTTATTATTAAAAACAAAAACAACAACAAAGGTGGAGAGGAGTATGGGATTGTAGAAGAAAAACTCTTCAAAAGCACAAAAGAAGCATTTCTGCTTCCTGAACCCACTCTGCAACACACACTGTGTAAATGAAGGCATCCCTACCCTTAATGAAGGCTGTCTAACACATCAGCCCCACCAGCAGTCTCTATTTTTCACAGCCACACATTTCTACAGCAGAGACATTTCTGTGAAAAGCAATCACCCAGCAGGGAAGGTCTGAATGCAAAGGAATTTAGTTAGTTATTTTCAAACAAGTGCCATACACATGCCACAAAATTAATTTCTGCAAATGGTAACGAACGACTGTGGGCCTCGCTGGGCTTAGAAGCTGTTTCTTTAACAAATAAGTTAACAAGTAAGTTTCCACACAATCAGAACATAATTATTTATAAGGATTTTGTATGTAACTTACTCAATATTGCTTCAATCAATTTTTGTTGCCATTTCTGTTGTAAATATCTAAGAAATGTGCAGATAGCAGGTCCTAGGTCCTTAAGTACACGGATATACGACCACACAACATGCAGGTACCACTTCCCTGCATTCCAGGTTAATATTGCAAGATCAAATGCTCAAAAAATTAGGAAGCAGCAACATTAAGGGTGTTTGCATATTCCTAAATGTTGTGCTTCCTTGTCTGCCCAGTACAACAGCCTTTACACACAGCTCAAACAGCCCACTACCAGATTACATCCCTACAGCTCAACAAAAAAAACCACCAAAAAACACAAACACCGACTCAGAAAACAACGGGCACATAGAACTGAAAATCATCACTGCTTACAAAGAGAATTTGTGGCAGGGATGAAATGCAGCTTGAGAATCTTAATATCATTCCTTTTTCTTCTGTAATCCCCAGCCACACTGACCGCAAACCTTTCAATTTACACAGCAAATGGAACATGGTCATGCAGCAGCACACTATTTTTCACTCCTCTCCTCCAGGAGAGATATCCTCTAGAGAAAAACAGCATTTGTTCTTGTATTGTGCACAGTATGTCAAATATGCACAAATCCTAGGCCATCTGAATTCTTGATTTGGTTGTTTTTTAGAAAAGATCGATGTAATTTCCTTTTTCTCCATCTAAGAAAGAGCTCATAAAAGCACACGTTCCATCACATACCATTTCCCCCCAGCAGGGCTAGAAACTGTCAGATACAGAGAATACCTCAGCTAGCACAAAAACCGGTGGGATGCTATTCTCTGGACAGAACAACTCTAAATGAGGTTACAGCTAAATTTCACACTGATGCTTAAGAGAAACTCAGACAGGACTTCGCCGCTGTTTGAAAACCTGAAAGGAATCATGCCCTGGTTTTTACAGGTATTGCAGAAAAAAAAAAAAAAAGTGTCTCCAGCTGTCACACACACCAGTACACACCTTCACCTGGATAAGCATCCTTTCTCCTTTCACCTCTACAAGATAAAGCTGCAGCTAAACAAGTTTTAACTGAGCAATTTCTATGGCAGGTAGTTTACCTATGTATGGGGAAGCTTTCTGCTCTCTGCTGGTTAACCCAAAAGATTTTATCTGTTCTTACAAACAAAAATACTAGTAATAAATAAATAAACGCTCTTCACTGCAGTATTTACCAGTGGTCTGAACACCTACTGAAATTGCTTGGCCTATGTTGTGATGGCTATCAGAAAACAAGACTTTAGCTGTCCCATAAAAAATAGATGTCTTGGTGGCCTTTCACGAGGGAGTTAGAACGTCAGTGGATAAAGAAAGAGCAACTGATGTCATCTACCTGGACTTTGTACAAAGCATTTGACACTGTCCTGCATGACAAAGTGGAATTGGTGGATGGATCATCCACTAGATTAGGAATTGGCAGGATGTTCACACTCAGAGAGTTGCGGTCAATGGCTCAGTGTCCAAGTGAGACCCGTGACGAGTGATGTTTTCCAGGGATCAGTGCTGGGTCTAATGTTATTTAATATCTTTGAAGGCAACATGGACAGTGGGATCAAGTGCATTCTCATCAAGTTTGCAGATGACACCAAGCTGAGTAGCATAGCTGACACGCTAGAGGGAAGGGATGCCATTCAGAGGGACCTGGACAGGCTTGAGTGGTGGGCCCATGCCAACCTCATGAAGTTCAACAAAGCCAAGTGCAAGGTCCTGCACCTGAATAAGGGCAATCCCAAGCACAGATACAGGCTGGGTAGAGAATGGTTTGAGAGCAGCCCTGAAGAGAGGGATTTGGATGTGTCGGTTGATGAAACTAAACATGAACTAGAAATGTGTGCTTCCTGTCCAGAAAGCCAATCATATCCTAGGTTGCATCAAGAGAAGCATGACCAGCAGGTCAAGAGAGGCAATTCTGTCCCTCTACTCTGCTCTCGTGAGACTGCGCCTGGAGTACCATGTCCAGTTCTGGAGCCCCCAGCACAAGAAGGACATTAAGCGGGTCCAGAGGAGGGCCACGAAAACGATCAGAAGGCTGGAGCACCTCCCCTATAGGCTGAGTTGGGGCTTCAGCCTGGAGAAGAGAAGGTTTGAGGGGACCTTATACAAGCATTCCAGAACCTGAAGGGACACTACAGAAAACCATGGACTCTCACTATTGCAACTTCACTCATTTGCACAGATCACAGAGAGCAATGCACAGCCCACCAAGCATCCTGCATTCCTGCCACAGCAAGATTATCCTATGCATCAGTGCATGTCTTCAAGTTTTTGCCTCCTCTTCCTTTTCTTACCTTGTTTTCATTCTCTATTACAAATAAAACTTTTTATTCCTTTCTCTTCCCCAGGTCCTTATCCTTTCATCATCCCTATTCTTCTCTCATCCTCCATCCTCTTCCCTTGCCGTTCCTTCCACCATTCCTGTTCTTCTCTCACCACATACAGGCAACCACGCTATCTTTTCCCAAAAGAATCACGCAGACCCTTTACTTTCCAAGAATTAGAATTCATCATCATCCTCCTTCCTTCAAATTAAAAACAAACAAAAAAACCCACGTGAACAGTTGTCAGTGCAGGCAACTGGCATTTATCAGCTACTGAACTGAGATGTTAATTCACACCCACAATAAGCAAGCCCATGAGCCCATGGAATTATACAACCTGGTAACTTTTTCTTTATCCTCTCACTGTACATGTTTCAGCAGTGCCAAACAATGGGTTTGTATTGTGAGTATCCACATTTCTGAAGAGCTCTATGGCACCAAAGTACTACACAAACACATGGTGCCTTTCCCAAGATATCCGCTCATCTACCACATCCAGGTATATGCTTATATTTATTAAAAAGTCAAAATGCATTTTAAAATACAATCACAGTGCTTTATTAAACAGTACAGATTTCAACAACCAGCTTTAACGCTACACTGCTGACAGCAATTAAGAAATCCTGCTTGTGACAGACTGGCAATGAAACAGGCTAAGTTCTTTGCCCTCTGGAATGAAAAACTGCTGAGTTCTCATGAGGGAAGAACATGGGACTTTTCAGTGCTAAGAGATTTCAGAATTTTGTAGCACTTGAAATACAGCACAGATCAACTGGCTTAGGGTAATCTTCAGCAACTTCCTTGCTTCCTTATTAAGTGGAATAATATATCCCTCCATCCCTCCCTTTACACAACGTAACCCTTTTAAAGTGCTCTGTCTACTTTGTTTGGTGTTCTCCATTTATTAGCTTCCTACGCAGTTCATTAAAATCTGAGTCTGAGCATAATGTACCTTCCTCTTCATTCACACAGTGCTCAGCACTACAGCAGCACGTGCAGCATAACCTGCAACATTATCCTCACCACCACCTCTGTAAGGGACAGCACTACAACTAGCACTCAGCAGATTGAATTGTCCAAGGCCACCCAGGAATTCTGCTGCATTAAATATCCCAAGTGCTGGGCCAGTGCACTACACTGCAGTCCAAGGCATGTCTACGTCATGCACTGTCCAACAGCACAGTAACAGTCAGCAAAGCAGTCCACGCAGTAGCCATAGAAACGTAACAGTCCCCAAAAGAGAACGTACCCTTTCCTGAAGGGATGAAGGGTTCTCTCTGACTTTTCAATACTACAGTATCTACAACCAAGACAGCAGGCATTATTGATAGGAACTGTATTCCTATTTTAAAGATCTACCTCGATTTCGGAAGTTTGCAGGATATGGAAGAATGGCAAGTCAAATTAGACTTAAAACACTCCAGGCATTCCCAGCTCATCACAGATCTCCAAGGGCACCAGCAAAGAGATAACAGGACTGTTTGACAAAATGGTTGCATCAGATTTGTTTTTGGTCAAGTGAAGAAACATGGAGAAAACGCAGAATATTTTATCTTGTAAAACCATTTGGCGTAAGCTCTGAAAAAAATACCAGTCAACAACAAAATCTATTTTAAACGAACTGGTCATTAGCAGTAATAAAAGTATTAGCTCAGTGTGGGTTGTGCCCGTAGCTTTCACACAGAAACAAGTGATGCCTATGAATCACCAAATCCTCTCCCTTTCATGAGATCTTTTGTAATTTTCCATAGACCATATGTGCTGCATCACAGATGCAACTAATCTGAAGTCTCACAAAGGTGAAAGGCATCTTGCAGTATGCTCCACTAAAACAATGTTTAAGAGACATGTGCATCTGAAGTATAATGTGAGAAGATTTATAAGCAGGAACTGAAAGGTATGGCCACGTACTGCATTGGGAAGGGGGTAAGAGACAGTGGTAGCTGCAGGGGAAGAAAGATGACTTTCAGGAAGGTGTATGCTGCTACTGTTGCTCTGTGCTTATTCAGGAATAAGTTTTCTAATACTGACAAGCCTTGAAACAATACATGTCCACGTGCCAGTAGAATAAAAGGAGCAAAAGAAACTTGATGTCTCCCTCGTAAGGATAAATAATAATAAATAAATGAAAATTAAAAGGAACACTCGCCGAAAATGACTACACAGTACCACCTTAACTTACCAGCTGAGGACTTCATCTAAGCATATAGACTCCATCATGTCCCAGTGTCACTCCTGGAACAGGCCCTGACTGGCAGTCTCCAAAACAATGGGATGAATGTCAAGCAACAATCAGAGCAGACAGACCAGTGACATCTTTTTGCTTCTTGAGCTCATCAAGGCTACTAGCTTTCAGCTAATGACTCTTTCAAGTATTTAGACCTAATTTAGACCAAATGTTGGCAGAATCTAGGTAGTCAGAGGTTTGGGGTGGGAGAAGCTGGAAACAACTTTTTTTTTTTTTTTTAAATTGTCCCTTATCATCATTTTACAATGACATTTATTCACTAACTCAACTAATGAAAATCTGAATTTCCTTCCACTCTGGTACACGCTTTCCAAATGGAATTATAAAAGTTTATGTTCAGCAAGGCAAATAAAGCCTCATCTGTCCAGATAGAAAAATATGTGGTGGGCAACAATGACTGGAACCAGCAGAGAAGGCACTATTTGATTTCCTAAAGGTTACAGACCCTTGCAAAGTAGGCAGACATAGCTTTGTCATTGGGAAGCGAGCAGAGTTCAGTTCATAGTAAATTTAAGCAGTAGACAGTTGGAGACTGGTACATTCCTCAGTTCTGTTGCCATAAAAGATAAGATTTTTGTGGTATCACTACCCGTAACTTACTTCATTCTGATGTCCTCTAAGAAAATAAAGAGATGCATTGACATTACTACAAAGACAATCCCTACAATCATGACACTTTCACAGAGACTCACAAAAAACTCACAGACAACTGTGACTTTCCTCTATCCATGTATTTCATTGATGCCAACTAAAAGCTCTAAAACACAAAGAAAACCCTGGTGTTTGCATCTTGTCTTCTAGAAAATCTATATTAGTCACCCTTCCTTTCTCTTCCTTAAAGCGTGCACTGAGTATTTCTAACTCTGTAACAGAGCAAATACTGAGCCAAACACAGTAACTAGAGTCTGACCAAGCACAAACTCATTAGAAGAGCTTTCATGCCATCACAAAATACCACGATTTTCTTCCTTCTTATTCCTCCTCCATCCCTTTCCACATTCCTAATTCTTTTGCATCCATAGTTTCCCCCAAAATAAAGTTGTGTTCCTTTCTTGGCACGGAGGAAAACACTTCAGTATCTTGCTTTCTCTCCTCAGAAGCAGACATTTAATACTTTAGAGACCATTACATGCTTTAGAGAAGGAGAACAATATTTGAAGAGATGGAGAACTTTTTATGCTTAACTTCAGTCACTAAAGGAAAGTGAAGAAAGAGCTACACAAATAATCAAAAAGAACAGAACTGGAACAAGAAACGTTCCTTCTCCCCCTTTAATCCTTTGGCTCAGTATTGTCATCAAAGGGACAGCTTCAGTTTGGTGAAGGAAGGAAGGAGGGATATCAGAGAAGACCCAATACGGAGCTCCTCCGTGAGGCAGCTCAGCACAGAAGTAACACGGTCATTTTTCCTGCTGCAGGAACACCTGCTGGGAGCGTAACATATTTCAGACAATTGAGGTTTAAAATTAACACCTTACAGCAAGGACACAGAAAGGTGTGTCTAATCCTAAATCTAAAACCACATTTAAATTACAACAACTACTTGAAAGCCACTAAAATACCAGGGCTAGGAAGCTGATGGACAATTTTACCACGCACTCTGTTGATAACTTGGCTAGCGCACAAAAATCTCCTGGAAAAAAAAATCTTGAGATGTCCAAAATAGAGGACTCAAAAAGTTACAAGTTGAAATAACTAAGCCTGTATGTACAGCTCTGTCAGATCTTCTGTGCATTTTAATATTTAGGCTTCTGTTACCACATGGAATGGTCATACCAGCTGTTTCTCATACCAAACAACTGACTAGTGACTGAAAGCTTTATTTTATCCCTTTTGCTCAATAAGAGTCATCACATACACTATCCAAAACCCAATCTGAAACCCAACCAGGCAATCAGTTTTTCAAGGTGCTCATTACTATGACATGACAATGCTTTCTCACAACACTGCTATGGAATAGCCTGTTTCCCTCACCAATGGAATGAAAAAATAAGATAAAGAGTTAAGGCCATGTAATTGCAAACACACTTCTTTAGGTGTCTAAAAATGCTAGTTTCTCACAAGTCGGAACTATCTGCTCAAAGCACATTTCAGTTGCATTCTTCACATGCATTCTTCAAGTCTATTTCTCTAACTACAAATGTTCACCCAATTTAAGGGCAGAATAATCTGTTTGAGAAGAACATGTAAGAAGTATGTCCTAAGAACAAACACAGACATCAAACTCACTTCATCAGGCAGGTATTCAACTGCCTCAAACATGAGACCACCTTTTTTCTTCCTACAATCTGCATTTAATTCATCATACACCTTCCTTTCTCCAAGGATTCGAAGAGGTCCTACAAACAACTGCTCTCTTTCATCACATCCTCCTCACACATTCCCTGAACAGATCCAGCCAGTGAATGACATGGAAGAGAAATGCTGTGGGAGGAAAAAAAAAAAAGAAAAGAAAAAAAGAAATTAAATGGAAAACTATATCTAAATTAAGTGCTAAAAGAACACTCAAAGAATTTCATTCAAAGAAGTAATTGCACATATTGGAGATTTTTAGAAGAGTTCAAACATTCTGGACTATTTTTTCATATCAGTTTTCAGATATTGTGTATCATTACTGCTTTTTATGAACTGTTAATACTGAAATAATATACTTTAAAAAAGGAAAAAAGGGAGGAGTGAGGGAGAACACAATGTGCTCAGATAGGTGTGAAACCACAAAAAGAAATAAATAGCTGATCTGGGATCACCTTAAAGAATTGTGTAAGGGTGCCAATATAGACTGAGTGAGGAGAGAAAACCTTCACAAGTTTTCTGATGAACCTGTTTTTTGGTAAGAATCATCCATCATTACTGAAAATAATTTTTTTTAATGATTAAGCTACAGTTTGCATCAAATACTTGTGGTATCAGAAAGCACCTTGCATCTAGAATAACAAAAAAAAAGCATAACATATATTAAAATGAGTTTAAAAGGCTACTTATGGCTTCTGAACGCATTACAGAGAATTACAAGCACCACTCACACAAATCACACATGAAGTAGGTCTTGATGCATTAAAAAGTGTATCTTGCCTGTGAGACAGACTGGAAAAACAAAAACAAAAGGAACAGACCAGTAGGACAGTAAGGCAGCAGTATAACTCCTGATATATTTTATCTCATCTTACGTAGAGAAATACATTTAGGGAAAGTAATGGATAAAGGACACCAGACCGTATTTCCAAGACACAGAAAGGCTTGACTACTATGGCAGATAACTGCCAAGTATGAACTTCCAGCTGAAACACAGTGGCCAACAGGGATAAGGGCATGCTCGACAGAGGAGCAATAACCTGACTTCTTTAGTTAGTGCCATAAAGAAGACTGGTACTAAAGGAATGCATGCACTTTCATTTCAAAATCAGAAACTCAAATATGTTGATGAAAGATGAGAGTAGGTTTGTTTGTTTGTTTGGCTAAGTTACCAGGAAGAAGAAGATTTAATTAATTTGAATCTACACAAGAAATAAATTTATAGTAAGAGGACACTTGAAGATGGCAGGCAAAAGGCGTTAAAGGAGTGACAAAATATTGGAACTGTGACAATGAACAACAGACAAGTCACAAAACTGACAGGAAAACCAATCAGTAAACTAATTTATTGAAGGATGATATGGATTCTCTTCCATATTAAGTATTAAAAACTACATGCTCTGCTTTTCTAAAGGGAACTCTTAGACTGAGCACGGCAGCTCTCTTATAGTAGCTAATAAAGGGAAGTAATGTTGCACACGATACACAGGATACCAGACAAAAATCAAAGAACACAAAGCCACTGTAACAAACACTTTGCTGCTCCTAACATCTCTGTAGCCAGATATTTTAAGTACTACTATATTGTGCACATTATTATTTTTTTTTTTTTAAGCAAGACACATTAAAAAAAAAAATAATAGCACCACTCTATTAACATCTACCTGAAGGATCAAATATCCTGGCTGAGACACAAAATAAAAGCTTGTAATTTTTGCTGCATGCTTGTATTAGAGGAGTTCACAGACTTTAACTGACAGTGACAAAAATCCTGAGGCTCTTGGCATTGATGGGAGTACTCTAGCTACCAAACTCATCTAAAGCTTTTCTCATCTTCAACTTCATGCCTGCCATACATCACTACACTCAGTACCAAATCTTTCTCGTTCCTGTCTACTGGTTGTGAAACTCAGTCTTTCACTACTTCATCTTTGCAGCTCTTAATATACACTTGCACTCCACGCAGTAAAGAAACACTGCATCCCCCACGCACTTGCTCTTCATTTGTCTCCTTTTTTCCGCTCTTGCCCAGCACCCATCCTCCCATCTACCAGCTATCTCTGTCTCCTTGTCCAACTTTTCTTCCTGCTTTTTGCATTCTCCTTCCCCACAGCTCCTAGATCAATATCCTTGCCGGTTCATTACCAGTATCTCTTCAGCTTTTCTGGCAAAACATCATGTATTGTGGTTTCTGACCTTCCTTAATTCACTATATGCTCCCGTAGATCATAACACAGGGAACTCTGCAGCTCTGTTCCCATACAGCAGCTCTGTGCTGGAGGAAATCTAGTTCAGTGCAATTCCTGAAGAACCATGCTTCAGTGCTTCCAAGCATATGCCAACAGATGTAACTTGGCCAAGTAGACTGAAATAAAAGATACATACCAGTAACATCATGCTGTAAAACACCAAACTTTTTCATCTCCATTGCTGACATCCAATCACAAAATGTGAAAACCGCGTTCATCAAAGAGGTGACCTAATCTTAACCCATGAGTACATTTCTTTAAGAACAACTCTTCAATCAGTTTACTTGTCTATTTTAAGAACACGGGGGGAGAGGAGGAACATATTTATATTTTAAGTCTCACCACGCAGAGAATATAATTTGAAGTTATATGCAACTTAAAGGAGTACCCGCAGTATTCACAGAGCTCTTTCATCACCAAAATAAGGCTGCATTTTTAAAATATCAGCGAAGGCAGCTGCAGTAACTATCTTCCTGCAGACACAGAAGTTGCCCTCAGCTTCATTCCATCAACGCTGAGGCACCAGCGAACCCAGAAAGGCTCCCGAAGCCGCGTTGTCCAGGAGCAGCAGCGGCAGCTCCCCCAGGAGCAGGCAGATAGCGCGGCGCCGCGCCCCCACGGCCGAAGGCAGGGCCGGGCTGCCGAGGCAGCCCCGCTGAGCCACGGCGGCAAGCTCTGAGCGAGCAGCCGGAGCCCCTGCCGCGATTTCTAAGCAGCCCCAGAACACCTCGACGCGGCGACGAGGGAAGGAAGGAAGGAAAGAAGGAAGGAAGGAAGGAGCGCGGCTGGGAGCCCTCACAGCTCCGGGAAGCCTCACAGCCAGGCGCCGGGCAACGCTGCCGCCCGCGGGGCTCGGGGCAGCCGCATTTCGGTCAGCGCCCGGGCAGGGCTCAGTCCCCGCCCCGAGGCACGGTCTGCCCGTCCGTCCTCAGCCGCGGCCCTCGGCCCCGCCCCGGCAGCTCTTACTGTCCAGGTAGTGCTCCAGGTACATGCCCGCCGCCATCTTGGGCCCCGACACACTGGCACTTCCGGCAGGAGCCGGACACCGGCGCACCCTCCCCCCCCCGGAAGTAGCTCTTGCCAGGCCGGCGAAGCCACTTCCGCCCTTCTTCCCAATCGTTTCCGCTTCGCTGCTGTCGCCATTTGGGGCTGCACCTGGGGGGTGGGGCTGCCTCTTCGCCCGCTGTTGACGGAGCGCTGGCCTGAGGGCTGCCGCACGGGGCTGCGGAGAGGGGAACGGCCCCGCGCGACCTTTCGCCGCGAAAGGTAAACGCGTGCATCCTTCTCCTCCGTGCTAGAAGAATCAACCCTCGTCGTTTGGTGGCTTAGCAGAGGCCGCTCCTGGCTGCGCGTGACTTCCGACAGCCTGTCTAGGTGCTCCCGGGGGATCGTGTGGGTGAGGAAGTGCTGCTGGTTTGTAGTAGCGCTGGGTTTTGCCATCCACCATACTACCTGCCAGACATGAGTAACTGCTGCTCTCTTACAGAGTTGGACTTTGCTGTACAGTGACAGCGGTACAGGCTTTAGGTACCTAGCACACCACTAGAACAGTTACACCAAGTTCAACACGTGAGCATGCTCTTTTTTCCTCCACCTCGACAAAACCACTGTTCTGACTACGTACTGCCACGTGTTGCTTCCAGGTTACAGGCCCTTCTGCTACAGACTTCAGGACTCCTTCCCCTAAGAGCCCTTTGCCAGTGGCTGCACATGCAGCGTGCGAGGGTGAGAAGGTGAAGGAACTGATTATGAAGGAACTGAGACAGAATTATCTTGTTTCTCATCAATCCAGGATTGATGTATCAGGAGACTGAGGTTAATTTTCTATGATGCAGTGCTGAAGAGACAATGAATTCCTTTGGCAAATGTTAAATTTCATTTGCATTTTTGCTGCCTGCTTTTTTTTTTTTTTTTCCTCTCCCCTCCCCTCCTTACTCTCCTGATAGACTATAAAACAACAGCCATTGTTCAGGGTACCTTGTTACTAGATACTATCCACGTGGAAAACTGATCAGACTACTTCTTCTTGTTCCTCCTAAGTCTTCCAAGGTACCAGACATATATTTATATGGACCTGCAGGGATTAAGTATTCTAGCAGTCTGCAATACAAATCTGAGAGGCTGTGACAAGAATGAATTGCTGCTGTTCAAATTATTGACAGCTTTGCGGACAGACTATTTAGTTAATACAGAGATCCACAATGTTCTGAAGATGCAAATAGTCCTGTTCCTGTAGTCATTAAAGTTACTCAATATTTTTAATCAAAACCCTTTCTTACTCTTTTTGCTTCATTCATGAAGCAACTGGTTTCACTTAAGTTGAGCATTATTAAGCCTCACTTTGCTTTAAAGTACTTCAAAATTGTTATATAAATTGCCTTACACTCTTTAATTAAAGAGAAGGATATGGCTGTTATGTAAAAATTGTACTTCTATATCCTGTCACAAGACTAAACCAGAAGCCCCTAAAAGCATTATGTTTTCAGTTACCATGCTGCATGGAGCTGATTCTAAGGAAGAGATGCTCTTCAATATTACCAATTTGGTCAAGAGACTACTCTGGAATCCCAGCTTACCTTCCAAGCCAAGGCTATGTATGTGTCAAAATGCTAGTCCACTGAGATAGAAAGAAAAACGCCCTCTGGCTTTGTTGTCAGTGCTGATATGAAAGACAGAACAGTATACCTTTTCCTAAAATAGAAATGGTAAACCTTAGCAAAGTGTACAAATGAATCTTTAACCCCATTAACTACTGCTGTAAAATTGAAAAACAAAAAGGAGAGGGAATTTTGTGTACTCATGGGGCATCGTGACCAGTAGAAGTAAAAACTTTCAATTCAGCAAAAAACTCGTTACTGAATTGAGAAGTTTGCTTTCTTCCTGTTTATGCTTTCTTTAAAAACTCAAGATTAATGGAGAAGTACATCTCTCATGTTTCCAGAAGAATCCTGATCTGCAGTGAGGTTACTGCTATTGTTACTGCTGGGAGGTGTGATATGTTTTAGTGTAAACACTTCTATGAGTTAAAGTACCAGTGTAGCAGTGTTGGATGAGGTGTGAGCTAATAAACCTCACAGTAAGGCTTCCTCAAGGTTCTGACATCCTGAGATGTGCCAGGACAGGTGTCCAGTGCCTGCACTGGAGCTGGTTCTCTGGCCAGGTAGGAATAGGGGCAGAGAATTACCTTTCTGCTTTTCTGGTACATTTTTTGTACATTGTTTCAAGCATCCATCACATACATTCTTGCTGATCCTCACGAGGAAGGTGTTTGCTCTGCCTTGTGAGACCCCATCTGGAACACTGCATCCATGAGGGCCTCAGCACAAGAAAGATGCGGAGCTGTTGGAGCAGAGTCCCGAGGAGGCCATGAAGATGCTCAGACTCTCCCTCCTATGAAGAAAGATTGAGGGAATTGGACTTGTCTTGTTTGGAGATGAGAATGCTCCAGGGACACCTCATTGCAGCCTTCCAGTACTCAGCAGGAGCTTATGAACAGGAAGGACAGCAACTTCTCTGATGGTCTAATAGCGATAGGACAAGGGGGGGGATGGCTTTAAAGTCAAATAAGAGAAAATTAGATGTTAGGAAGAAATTCTTTACTCAGAGGGTGGTGAGGCACTGGCACAGGCTGCCCAGCAAAGCTGTGGATGCCCCATCCCTGGAGGTGTTCAAGGACAGGTTGGATGAGACCCTGGGCAGCCTGAGCTGGTGGGTGGCAACCCTGCCTGCAGCAGGTGGGTTAGAGTTCAGTGATCTTAGAGATCCCTTCCAACCTGAGCCATTCTATGTCTGACACAGGTAATTTTAAAGGAAGATAGGTTGAGTATGTTCAAGGCACAGTATCATCCACTGCTATCCCCCACCCAGCCTTACATATTGATAGTTGAGTTACCATCCTCCTCACCCGAGTTTACGATTTCAATTACATCCTGTTGCTAATGTGGTAATGTAATTTGATGCAGGATCTGACTGTACTCCACAGAAGGCCTGCACAGCTCACAGAGGGAAGCTAAACAGCCTACTGAAGACTAGTGGTTCTCGGCCTTTATTGATCTACAGATGCCTGCATATTTTCCCTTGGAAATGTAAACACCTGCCTAAAATGGAAGCCTCCAGTTTTTCAGTTACCTTACAGATCTTTTAAATGTTGTCCAGGGACCACAAGGTGAAGGTCAGTACTTGAGAGTGATCATTATGCATACCCAGCAGGTAGCCTACAATTTCAAAGTCTCTCACTTAGTTCCCTTTTTTGCCATAAAGGTACACATTCAACTCACATTCAACAGAGGTCCTTGCTCTGTATTTCCTCTGCAGAAAAGACTAGTTCCCCACTCCCCACCCCCTCTCACTTCATTCTCACAAACATCAGTTGATCTGGAGCACTTTCCCCATGCGTGGTTAATCAGCCTTGCATATGAAAGAGGATGCCAGATGCCCCAAACTATAGCTGTGTCCACAATCCAAAAACATACCCTAATTCAGCAGCAAAACTAGGCATAGACTCTAGTTCTTTGGTGTCATGATTTCTTGCAGTTTTTTTTTTTTTCCATTCATTACATAGACACTACATGAAATCGAAATGTTTGTTGGACCAAGTCACTACATCTCTTGAGTACTTTGGTGTTCCACTATACAGAAACAAGAAACCATGCACACAAATTTAATCTGTTGTACCTGAAATGACGATTGGACAGGTACCTATCATGTAGTTAGCGAAATGTACAAAAAAATTTCATTCTATGTTCAGAACTGTACTAGTAAACTTGGGCAGCTTTCGGGTACATTACCTGCAAAATCCTAGACAAGATATATATCCTTTTGTTGATATAAAGATGATAAAATAATTGATAAAAATATAGAAGACAAGCAGAATCTCCTAGTTATATTCTATATTATGAAGAAAATTGGATGATGTAGACAAATCTATGAAGTAATGAATTATTACCTATTGCCAATGATATTTATGAAGACGTTTAGTTCCACCCATAAAACATCCTAGAATTTGCATAGCTATAAACTCACAATCAAGAATTTTGAAAGAATTATCTGGCAAGCAAATGGAAACAACGGCCTTTCCTTTCAAAACAACTTTAGAGTTTGAATGTGTTCCAGAAAACCAGTAAATACTTTCATTTTAGAAGTATTTAAATAACAGGGATCATCTAGATTGCTTAGAAGGCTGTTGACCTAATGCTGACTTGGCAAAATCAAAGTGTAATCTATTTGGGTTACACTCAGCTAAGAAAGGAAACAATAGTATTTGATTTAATTGAATGAAAAAGATCTCATTAAAAGAATTACATATTCTTTTGTGGCAATGTAAGTTTGGTACTTCAAGATAATGGTCCAGGACTAATATAGCAAGACTTGCATCGAAGTACGACACAGCCTGGTCCTTTTGTAAAGGAAAAGAAAGGCAATAGGTAAGTGCTACAGGAGGGAGCCAAGCCTTACTGGGAGACACCTAAACCAGCTCAATTAAATTCAGTTGTTTGGAAAGATGAATACAGCAGCTTGATCACGGGCCTGTAACTCATTAGAAAAGATTTTTGACAGCAGAAGACTTTAATGTACTGAACAAAAACCATAATAAGACCTTATGAGAAAGAAAAAAAAAAAAAAAAAGAAGAGAATGGCAGTTTCAATGGCAGTGAAAACCAGCAAAATAAGGGACATGGTTGATCAACCATAGGGCTTTAAATTGTGCAAGTCTTAAATCTTTCTTGAAGATTTAACTGAATTATAGATCAGCAATGCTATCATTAGTCATGGCTGAGATTCCATTACCATGTTGTGGGTGACTTTTCTAAATGATTTCCAGCCTACATGATGTTTCCTTTTAAAGCAATGAGAATTTGCAAAATCCAGCTAAAAAGTGACAACTGATTCACTAAAGGACAAGGAGTGCTGCCACATTCCAGCAAAGACTCAAGATGCAAACTAACACAGAACTCCAGAATCAATACAAAGTCGTCGTCTTGGGTACACACATACAGGAGCAAATGGATTGGCATTATGAAGAAAATACAGAGTTAAAGATTTCAGGAAGCTGAAGAGGAAGGACCACAGGATCTTGTTAGAGAATACCCCATTCCTGCAAGTGGAAGTTAAATAATTGAACTGCTGTCAGCTTGAGAATACAAATCTGACAAAAGTCGCACTCTGAAACTTGAGGCTTCCTCTCCATAGTGGATAACTATGTATGGATGTTATGTTTTGCATCCTGCATATAGCTGTTACCCTGAGGCACTCTGAATGTGTTAAACAGCCTCAGAAATTCAAAGAGGAAGACCTGATAAAAACTCAACTAGGTGACAATGAGAATAAAGTATTTTTCATTGTTTCTACCCAGACTCCCGGTGCTGGTGTAAACAGAACTGGTATAAACAGAAATAAGAAATTCAACTGACGGGGGAAAAAAAAGTCCAGAAATAAAGTGGCACTTCTGAAACTCAATGGGAAAGCACCTTAATAAAAGCCAGTTTCTTCCTGTGTGATAGTAAAAGTTACAGAAACAGCAGCGAACTGCACAAACATAAGCAGTACCTTTGAAATGACTGGTAACAAAAGAATTGTACAGCCTTAAATACACAGACATCCCTGTGCTTGGTAATAGATTCCAAAAAGGAAGGATAGAAGACATAAGAAAACAATGCATCAAACAAGGGAAGGTGATCTCAAGCACCTTTAACACAAAACAAACAAAACAACAACAAAAAACCTCAAAGCACTGCAAGAGATTTTTAACTTGCAAGACATTCCCCAAGGAATTCAAGTAGTCAGCCAGATATCCTTCCCATTTTCAAAATTAATTTTCTTAAAATGGATGCTGCACCCAAAACAAGTCGATTTCTCAGACTTCTACATGATGCATACAAGACATGACAACGTGAGTGCAAACTGGCAATTCTGTCATGTTCGTATTGAACATGGGTGTGTGGAGGAGAGCTACAAGCAGTAATAAACCTATGCATAGTCTGTGCTTCACAAAGCAAATTTCCAAGGTGAGCAAACTTATGAACTGAGTTGTCTGTACGAAAAAAAATGTAAGGCAGGAAAATGTGAATGAAAACTATTCTTTAATTAAAATATTATTATATGGCCAAAAACATCCCAATTCCATGAAGCTTTCAGTAAAAGCCTGTTCTGGGTTCAGTGAGAAAGTCTGTGAGCAAGAAAAAACAACTGAAACAAGGGGGGAAAAAAAGACTAAAGGCCAAAATGCAACAAATGGAAAAGGGGAAGGCCAGACAAATAAGATAAAATAGATATTATTAGATAGAAAAAAAAAAAAACTAGTAAGGAAAAATTTGTGGCAAGCAAAACCATCGATAAAAGGAAAGGAATTTTGGAGCTTTCATTTGTTTGTGTTGTGTTTTTGTTGGTTTTGGTTATTGTTGTTGCTTTTTTTTTTTTTTAATAAAAAGCAGACAATTAAATACTACTGATAGTACTGATCCATGCTAAGTAAAAATGATTAAACTGCTAGGGACAAAGAATAAAGAAAATCAGTCAGCAAATACTTCTAATCCCATACTCAGAAAGAAACAGAACGTGGCAGTAGTATGAAAATAGCAACTTCTCTTCAGTACCGTAGTATCAAAGCAAGCAATAAGACAACATGTACTGGGGACATATATTTTTAAGTCAGTAAAGAAACAGTCCTAGAAGAGTTGACTAACAAGCTCTCTAGCCCAGCAATTCCAATTTTAATTAAATGTGGGATATTAGAGAGATGCTGTAAGACATTCATGACAGTATTCCCAAAATGCAAATGAAAGGACTCAGTGTCAAAATCAGTCTGAGGCAAAATAATGGAAAAACTGTCGAGATGAAGAATGAATGAATGAGTGAAGAACGAATCCTACAATCCAAATATTTATGAAATACAGATTTTGTAGGGGGAAAAAAAAAGAGAAATGAAACCCTGGTTTCATTCATTGATGACATCATTATACGTTTGGTTTAACAAAGGGGACTGCATAGGTGCAACATACTTAAATTTTCATAAGGCATTGACCTAGCACCATAAGTCAAAAAGATTTACTGTACATAATCACATACTAAGAGGATTAAGAAATGCCTTCTAGCCTGCAAGTCTCAAAAAGAAGCTAATAAAAAGTTGCACTGAATGATGCTTTTCAAGTTAGTGTAGGTCAGATGGATCATAAAGTTAAAAAGTAACAACTGATACAGTTTGTGGGTGACAAAACTGGCAAAGTGGCTTGTGACCTGGACCACTATAAGCCAGGTCAAACAAAATGGACTTTGAGACAGTCTCACATTAAACAAGCAGGAAATAAGAACTTGGACTATCTCTATTGAAAGGGGAAAAGATTACCATAGGAAGCTGAGATTTCTGATGATTTAGGAATTGCACCAGATAAGCAGCTAACATGAGCTCCTGTATAATGCTGGAGAAAAGAGAAAATGCAATCCTCTGCAGACTTAAGGCAAAGGGAAGGGCAACCTTGTCCATGGCACTGGAAATTGAACACTTAATTCAGAAATGAATGTTTTTACAGGATTCAGAAAAAATTGACAAGATGTGAAAATAAAAGATAAGAATAATTCACAGGCAGGAGGAAATCCCTTATAGTGGAAGACTGAAGGAGTTCCCTCTATTTAGCTTGTAAAAAGTAGATTGGGAGATGTTAGTGTTTAAATACCAGGTCAAAGGAGGAAGCTCTAAGGTTCTCTAAATCAGTGGGACGGATCTGAACTGGAAGCCAAAGGCAACCAAATCCAAGAGAAATCAGACTTAGATATTTAAAGAGCAAGAACACAAAGCCCTTGCAGCGGGTTACCAATGGAAGGGATTTGCTGCGTCCCTGTGCCTCAAAAATCAAGCCAATACATTTTGTGAACATGCACTTAAAATACACCTTAGCTATCGAGGCTCAGTGCAGAATAAATAGCTTGAAACATCATCTGTAAAATGTAGGAGTCAGGTAGTCTCTTTGAGCCTAATCTGTGAACCTACAAAAAACTTCAGCCACTTGCAGCCAAGCCTCCTGACTAAACACAGAGCAGCAACTCTCTGCCACAGACTACACAGGTGCAGAGCTCCAACTTTCACTGCGCAAACCACAAGGCTGCCTGAAGACAGGGATGCATTACTCACGGTGCTCGGTGCTTGCAGCAGCAAGATGCTTGTGCTGCAGTCTGGTGCGTGGGGAAGGAACACACAGCACAGGGGCAGGGTGCTTGCAGTAGCACCTCTGAGGAGCCTTTTACACCAGTTTATTTCTACACAAGGTGATTAAAAAAAAAAAAAGCTCCTTCTGTTTGTTCGTACAGAAATCTGAAACTATAGGCTTTGAGTGGGTATTTTAAATCCCAACACATGCTTTTTTCCCTTGCCTTTTCATTTGAGTCAGCCTCCACGATCCAAAGAAACTAAGAAGTGATACACAAGACCATAGTCATGTGGACCAAAAAAAAAAAATTAAAAAAACAAACAAACAAACCAAAAGGGAAGGAGAAGACAAAGAGAGAGGGAAAAACAAACGAAGATTGAAAATAAAAATTTGCCAGGATAATGCGTTTTATAAACACAGAGATAGAAACAGTTACAGCAAGGACAGAGCGGGCCAGGGGTGGGGAATAGATATTTATATATATATATGTATATATATATAAATTCACGGGGCCTTCAGTTTATTCTTGTTGGCTCCCCGTTCTCTTTAGATTGGTCTCTCTGTGGGGATCTTCATCCCTTTCTCTCCACTGTCCACCTTCTGGGGATTCTCTCCCATGATCAGGGTCCAGAAGAGGCCACCACTGCCATGTGAGTCCAGCCCGTCTTGGCAAGAGGAGCCTGAGAGAGCACTCTGGTGGGAGCTGAGCAGAGAAGCTAGCCTTTCCCTACCACCCGCTGGCTCCTTGAAAGACTGGTCTACTCCTCCTCCTCCTTCCCTTTAGGAAACGGGGCAGGACAGGGGGGGTGTGAGTCAGAACTGCTGTTGTTCCACCTTGCGAGAAAGGGAGTAGAGAGAAGGGCGATGATTACTCTGGCAGTCTCTCACCCTCCCCTCCATTGCTTTTTGGTTTGTTGTTGATGCCTGCAGGCTTTTCTGAGGAGGTGAGGGAAGCAGGAGGGAGAGGAGAAGTACAAGCTGCTAGGACATCATCCACAACGGGCAGGAAGAGCAACGAGCAGGAACCCACGTTCCTATGGGGCCTTGGCCATTACGCTGCTCAGATAGCTGGGAGAGGCAGCAGCCAGTTCCAACAGACTCCTCTCTATTGCTCTCCACTAGGGGAGAAGAAAGAGTGCAATACTCCATAGCCCCCAGGCAGTGCAGGCACCTGTCCAGCCCAGAGAACATGCCTCACCTCTCCCCCACACTGGTCTCACTTTCCACTGGGGAGGTTTCTCCCATCCAGTCCTGGGGGCAGGACAATTGACCCCTCCTCCCTTTCATAAGCAGGAGGAACAGGAATGGATATTTCCCTCTTAGACACTCAAGGAAATCCTCAAAAAAAAAAAAAAAAAACCATCCAGTTGTGAACCCTGCCACATTCTTCTGTGGCCCACTGAAAGCATGTCCAAGCCCCTGTACATACTAGGACTCCATTCCATTCACCACGCATGTCTCAACACCTCCCCACCCCTTCATATG